GGAATTGGAGGAAATCCATGGCCCTCATGTGGGTCAATTGGGGCTCAATGGCGGGGCCACGCAGGGTTCGCTTCTCCACCAAACAGTCGCGATTCCAGCGAGAAAGAGCCAACGAGTGCAGAATGCCTGTCCAGGTTGTCTTGTTGTAAAGAGATGCCTTCAATAAATTTTATTTCGCTTCTTGTCGCTGCGGTGGAAACACTTGGCAGCTGTCCCACTTCTCCACTTGTGTTACACTTGATCTCCGCCTGAACCCCCGAAGTCCGAAGGAAGTTGCTAGAACCTGCAAACGCGCGAATTTCTGGGGCCCTGGTGTGACCCTTCCTAAACCCTAAACCCTAAACATCCCTAAACCCTAAAACCCTTTCGGAACAGAAGGAGCCTGCAAAGCGGTCCAGGAGCTCCTGTGCAGGGCATCTTGTTGGGCATCTTGGGGAATTTGCAGACGCGGCACATCTGAATCCAGCAAAACTCGGTTTAACTGCGGAGTCGCAGTGCCCCCACATCATTGCTTTCATTGATTCATAAGGTGACCAAAAAGGTTAGTGTGACTTTGAAAGCCCCAGCTTGCAAAGTCTTATCCCAGGTGCAGTTATAAAAGGAAGCAGACCTGTGACATCTTCTCCCCACTTCTGCTTTCATGGCCAAGACTTTTGCCATATGTTAAAACTCCCCCGACCTGGCTGTCAAGAAATGCAACCGCGTTCAATCTAGATCCTTCAGCCCCATGCGACTTCTCTCCTACATAAGCCATACCCTATCTAAGCCTCAATCCCAGAGCCAACCCCTGAGGAACCAAAACTGCTTCATAGATGTTCAATGCAGCTCCAACTCGTCTGTAATTGTCAGCAGTTGTACTGAGGGATTAGGCCCTTGCTTTGCTTTCACCGACGGCTTGCCCAACCCCTGCACCCAAAACCCAAGTGACTGGGGCCCCAAGCCCTATCAAATTGTCGGGTGTTTGCTTGGATGCCCATGAGCCCTACCAGACGAATCTTTCTCACAACCACTCCTGCAGAACTGGCCATGCAGCATCCTACACTTTGGGATTGTTGCTGCCCGAACAAAGTCCCAGACATAACTTCCAGCCTCAAACCAAAGCCGCCACGCTAACACGGGAAACCTCGAAACCCCAAGCGGCAGCCTCTGAGATCTGATGGCTAAAGGCTGCGCCTGAACATTAGGCAGCCCCCCCAAGCCGGCACTGCAAAACTTCTGCGTCATGTCTCCTCCGTGCGCACCTGACTCCGCCAGTGCAGTAGCCGCCTCGGGTTTTGCTGGGGGTCAGGTGAGGTCCGGCTCATTCCGGCAAAGGCCGCCGTAGCCGTAGCCCACGATGCTGGCAATCCAGGTCTCTGCACGACGAGAACTTGGAGCAAAACTTGAATACACCGTGCCTACATGCAACGCCAAGCTGCCGCAGCGCGTCACTGCAAACGCCATTGGCCTGGGGCCCCCCCCAAAGCTGGGGTTTTTTTCGGGAGCCCAAGTAGAAGGTCAACAATGTCCACAGGCCCATGGAAGCCCCAAGTCGGTCTTAGGGTTTAGGGTTTAGGGTTTAGGGTTTAGGGTTTAGGGTTTAGGGTTTAGGGTTTAGGGTTTAGGGTTTAGGGTCTAAGTCCCTGGTATCTTTGGCACCCAGACACTGCATTGACACCAGCCAGCAACAGCTGTGGCTTTTGAAAGAACTCCCTCACGATCGGGTGTTACGCACATCTCTGGGTTGATTGTCACCCCTGCAAGCGGGTTGAGATGAGACGTTGAGTGACAGATAGAGGAAGAGGTTCAAGAAACGCTCGCGACACAAACACGCAGGCATTCGGAGAAGCCAACAAACATACGAGCGTGAAGGAATCAAAGACAAAACGCAGTGCAAAAACCAGCCCCACCATCTCTCATCTGGGAACGTTGCAGAAACCCCGCCATGGTTGAGTGCGCCGAACCCCCCTCAGCCCACGCCCTTCCCTCCAGGTTCCGAGCTGTGGCCGCGGTCTGCCACGAGGGCGACAGGGCCTGGGGAGGTTTGGGATTCAGGGTTCAAGGCGTTTTTGCGCGCTTGACGACTTTTTGGGTGTTGGGTGTTAGGATGGTTTTGGAGGCCTGTGTATTCCAGGTGCTCTTGCATCGTGAGCTGGGTCTCTAGGTGGCCTCTAAAGGGCTTCAGAGCTCGCTGAAACACAAAGAAGCGGTTACCCTAAACCCTAAACCCTAAATCCTAAACACTGAACTGTTTCACCGGTTGCCCGTTTCAGCAGAACAGCGTCCTTGGGATGGACCGTCGGTGTCAAGACAATCTACACCCCAAGCTTTGGAATCGACGCTGGGCGGCATTGTTGTCTCAAGGTTTTGTCAACAGAGTACGAGCAGATGACCGTCGTTGCTTGGGCTAGGGGTTTATGATGTACAAGCGGTGCTTGTTGGCCCTCTGAGAAAGCCTCTCTCAACCCCAAAAAACCCACATGTAAACAATAGGGCCCTGAGTGAAGGCCTGGCCAGCGCCGACCACCAGCTCTTGCTGCTTCCAAAGAGCCTGGGGCCGTTACGCATGTCGCGTTTCTGGAATCAGGGTTTAGGGTTTAGGGTTGAGGGTTTAGGGTTGAGGGTTTAGGGTTCTTTTGCTGGCCACAAAGGGCTTGAAGGCATGGGGGGGTTCCCTGCCCGGCCGGGCTGTGCAGAGCCTAGCAAGCTCCCTCGACCAAGCCTGATGCTCTGCATGAGACCCCAAGACCAAAGCCGTGTCGAAAGCCACTCATAAACAGGGTTTAGGGTTTAGGGTTTAGGGTTTAGGGTTTAGGGTTTAGGGTTCAGGGTTCAGGGTTTAGGTTTTAGGGAGGATCCCGGTTCGGAAGGGCTTTGAGTCAACAATCATGGTGTGCTCCTTGAACTCCAACTGTATCCCAAAGCCCGACAGCCCGAAAACCCAACTCACGGGCACCGCGCTAGCTTGCGCTGGATGGCCAATGTCTCCTCCTGCGCTTCTCGAAGCGCTTCCTGGTCGCATGGAACCAGAAAAAGCTTCCCTAAACAGTCATAAAAGTTGCCACTCTGCGGAAGCGCCCCTTCGGCTTTGAGATGCACGAAGGGCATCGGGGGGTGTTGGAGCTTGAGGCTTCAAACATCCTGGAGTTGTGGGTTCCGGCTTCGGGGTTTTGTGACCATCAAGAGAAGGTTCGATTCGGGTCGGGATCTTCAAACACCGCACCGGCCACCTCCAAATCCCTCAGCCGACTGCAAATTCTACAAAGATCCAAGGATTAACAGCGGCATCAGCCGGACCGACTGGAGGGGTTTCGTAAATCAGGTCCGGCATCAACGCACGCGAGCACGCGCGTGGGCAAAGAGATCTCCACGGTGAACCGTTTGGTGCTTTGATTTGCTCGTAGTGTTGACATTGTCCTTTCCGTATCTCCTTCTTAAACATGTGCAACACATTGTCTTTGGTGCTCATGTTTTTGCAGTCGCATGTGCTGTTGCTGTTGAAATCGCTGCCGGAGGGTTGGCAGGGGACCTCCAACTTGGTTCCAACAGACTCCGGGCCTCGCAAACCTCACCTTGGTGTAGCTGAGATAGCAGACATCGAGTGCTTTTGAACAAGGCGAGTGCTTAACCGGCTTCTTTGCACACCCGACGCCAAGCAGCCTCTGGCACCGAAACTCCAGGCGCCCCAATCGTAGGAGCTGGCCCGGATTTGGGACAAATCCGGGCGGAGATCAGTCATTGCCAAGCAAGCTGTGCATGTCTCTTAAGCGCAAGGGTTCTCGTCTTCCCGCACGACGAGAGCAGCCAACACTTTCACATACAGTACAGATCATAGGCGAAACTACTGTCGGCGTCGGCGTCGGCGTCGGCGTCGGCGTCGGCGTCGGCGTCAGCGTCGTCGTCGTCGTCGTCGTCGTCGTCGTCGTCGTCGTCGTCGTCGTCGTCGTCGTCGTCGTCGTCGTCGTCGTCGTCGTCGTCGTCACTATTAAACCTTCTCCCAGAAAAAGCACAAACCAACGCTCCACCTTGCGCCCATACCTAAGTTCTTGTCACTTTGAGGCTTAGCCGGCTTTTGGCCACAGCCGCGTTAGATTGGTGTTTCGAAATTTGGCGCTTGTGGGCTTTCGGGTTTACGTCAAGCTTGTTGATAGTGAAACTTGGTCTTTCACTGTCAGTCCAAGCTGCAGCTTATGCAAGAATGCAAGGATACCCTCCTGAACCCTGTCCAACTTTCCGAACGAAACCTTAAAGCCCCTAAGACAGGGTCTGCGGTCTGAGGCCGCCCCACCTGGAGATGGACCACATCTGCCTCTGCTGCCTCTCATGCATAAGGCGCGGCTCCCAACAAGCTTGGCGATTAGGTTCGATGCCTCAGGGCTCAAGGTTAAGGCTTAGACACCAAAGGCCCGGAGTCCAATGCCAATCGCATGGGAAGGCGTGCTTGCTTGTGAAGAACTCGCGCTCAAGGGGCCCTGGGCATGCCGACCATCCGCAAAGAACTGCCCCAGGCAGACGGACAGACGGGCAGAAGCGAAGGGCAAAAAGGGCAATCAGGGTAAAAAGGGCAAACAGGGCACAAGGGCAATAAGTGTGCTAAAACTGCAACAAACAAGGCAAAAAGGCACAAAAGTGCAAAACGGCCAAAGAGGGCAAAAGGGGCAAGAGGGCACAAAGAGCACAAGGGGGCAAAAGGGGCAACAGGGTCAAAAAGAGCAAAAAAAGTGCAAAACAGGCAAAACAGTCTGCCGTCCTTGCCATAGCCAAGAGGTGCCCCTCCAGGGATTTCAGCCCAAAAGCATTATTTCACAGATTCTGCGGGCATGCGATGAACCCTACACCCAAACACATCCACCGTGCTTCCTCTTACAAAAGGGGGGGGCCACCTGCGTCAATAGCCGTGCTTTTTTGCTCTCACTCAAAAAATGAGACACACATACACTCTCGCCAAAGTCACTCTCTCTGAGAGCGACGTCTCACTCTATTCTTTTTAAACAAGCAAACAAACATCTCTCCTATCCTCTTTACACCACAGCACAGATCTCTCCTCGAGGCATCTCCCGTTTGGCCTCGATCTCCTTCTTGACATTGGCCTCCTCCTCGCGCACCTGCTTCACCGCCTGCGAGGCATGTCAGTTCCCAACTCACTGGGCTCTCACGGTTTCGCGCCAGACCGGGGAACCAGCCTGAAACAGCCCTGTTCGGAGGCCGCATCTGGCGGATCTCCTCTCTAGCCCCCTGCCCGAAAAGCCCCCAACGCCGTAGCCACGCCAGTCTTGCGTGCGAACTTCCAACTCCAAACCAAGTCTCCAGTAGCCCCGCCTCCAACATGGATTGGTTCTCTTCCGTGAGGGTCTGCAGCTCGTTACGCAGTCCCTGCCGGGAAATTCAGCTTGGGGGGGGGGGGGGGCTTTCGGGGGTTCCAAGTAGCTGGGATGCAACAAGCCCTGAATGGTACAGGCACTGCCACCCCAAACAGATAGCTCTTCCTCCGCTCTTTCCTGAGCCTAGAGTCTAAACCTCCCATGCTCCGCCCCACCCCTGCCCTCCCCACCTGAATTTCCTTCTCCTCCTCACTCAGAGGAACCGAGCGCTTCTCCTGACATCGTCAGGTTCGGCAGTCGTTGAGAATGTGCTGGTTGTGTGTCTTCTCAAGGCATGAAGCCTCACCTGGATGCCTACGTTGATAGACACCTGCCCCTTCAGGCCCTGCAACCTTCGGATCTTATCTAGATCAGGTAGTTCTAACACCACCCATACACAAAGGGGGAGTTTTCAAAGAAATTGAAGCGAACATAAGGAGTTTGAGTATTTCACAGGGTGAGGTGCTTTGGACCACGGGGCGCATTCAGAGGTCGGAACTCGCCGGAACCTTCGAGGAGACCCCGAAGACAAGTCCTGAACACGTGCCCTGTTGAGCCCAGTCACGCAAGCAACCTTCCACATTACAACCAACACCTACATGGTCACACATACATGGCCCTGCATAGCATCAGAGACAGCATGGACTCAAGCTACACTCAACACACCTCAAGAATCTGCAAGACACTATCCGTTCTCAGGTCGAATCGTAGATTAGACTTTGCAGCTCCACAGCCCGAAGCCAAAGCCCTTGCTTGCCAAAACGCAGCTTCAACGGCCCTTCGCATAGTCGTCCTGAACCCCTGCTTACGACATGTGCTGCCCCCAGCCTCAGCGCTTTGGACGTTCTGCTCGAGGCTGGCGATCTCCTGTTGCTACACTGGCTTTTCGGATGCAGGGCTAGAGGCTTAGACCTCACACACACACTCTCACACACTCGTTCTTCCGTCTTATTCCGTCTTTTAAGATCGAGGGATTCGATATGGAAGGTCCCCACATCGAGCTTTCTGCAGCCCGCGGGAAGCCCCTACAGAAAGGCCCATGCATTCCTGACTCTCGATGCCGACAGCGACACCCTCTCGGTCGCGGCCTGCTCCTGCTGTCTTCGCCGCATCCTCTGCGCCCGCTGCGCCTTTCATGGCATGGGCAGCTGACTCCTCAACATGACTCCCCGAATGTGAGCCACGGAAAACTCAGGCCCCAAACTCCGAACCCTGTTAAGATGCCCCTAAACCCTTGATCCCAGCAAGAGCCTGACGGAGTCTGAGTCTGACTTTCCTATAGAAAGCAGCTGCCTCAGCGATGTCGGCCCGGGCCTGCAGATCCGAAGAAGCTACCCGGGCTATCGGGCTATGCTCTCGGTTTAGAGCTCAGAGTGTAGGGTTTAGGGTTGAGGGTTTCGGGTTTAGGGTTTGGGCTTTAGGGCCCGAAGCAGCAACGTTTGGGGGGTCCTCTCCTGAGAGGGAAAGAAGACGTGCCTAACTGGATGTGTGGAGGCTCGCAGGTTTGGATGGGTGGTGCATCCCGAACCTCTACGTGCCAGGACCTGGGGATTGCGGAGCCTAGGGGCTTGGGCTTAGGTGCCAAGGATTCTTGGGGGCTAAGGAACGAAGAACCAGTGAAGCTTTCGGACAAAAGCTGATGCTAGGATGAAGTCAGGCCAAACACATGTAAGCATGCGAATGCACAAGCAGCAAGCATCCTTGCGCTCGGATTTCTATGTCTGCCAATGAAGCGCATTAGTGATTGAAACTGAGTGTGTTCATCGTGTTCATGCACTGCAGAGGCCCAAAGCCGCTGACTCTTGAAACTGACGGAATGGCTTGCGCCCTGTGCCGCGGCAGGTCCCGGAAGCAACCCGAACCAAGACATGAAAAACCTAAGCTCTAAACCCTAAACCCCAAACCCCAAACCCCAAACCCTAAACCCTAAACCCTAAATGTCAATCCAATGAGCCACAGGAGCCGTTGCACACGAAATCGCCGATGGAGGCACAAGCGTCAAGCTTTAGCTAGGGGTGAAAAGGCATGGGCCCGCGCTGTGCGCGCTTTTTGGACTTAGATTGGTAGCGGAGCCCGTACGGCTCCTGAGGTTACTCCGCTATGTCGTCGACAGTGAGTGGTGCTCCATGGGAGCCTCCCGCCTCCTTCTTGTGGGGCGAACAACTACGTGGGGACGCAGCTGTACCAGATGTGGATGCTGTCCCGCATCCCTTTGCCAGGCCTTCATGGCCGAACCGTGATGATGGTGGAGCGGCGCCCCGACGTCCTGGTGAAGATGGTGACGTACGTGCCGACGGTGATGGGGAGCCAGGGGAGCCTGATCCCTGGCTGAATGGAGACCCTTGGTCTCAGGGGCGTGTGAGTAGTGAGAGGAGCTCCGGGGGAGGAGAACCTCGTCATGAATCGCGACAGCAGACTTCGGAACCCTGGCGCGGAACTTGGCATTCTGTGTGGCGACAGCGTGCTGACGGGGCCTGGCTGCGGTGCTGGAGCCAAGAAGGAACCTGGGACTCTACCTCAGCGGGATCAGAGGATGGATATGGTGACTACGGCGATGGCGGCCCTCTTCGTGGACCTCGCGCAGGGAGGGAGTCCGGATGGAACCACGGCGGCAACGGCGGCTGGGCCGATCATCTTGGAGGAGACGGTCGTCGACACCCCGGAGGAATCGATCAACGACACCATGCAGGTGGCGATTCTCGGCTTCCTCGATTACAAGGAACTGGTTGGGGGCCTTCACAGGGAGAATGCAGGACTTGGTCTGATGGCGGCATGCGTGGTGGTGCAGGCTGTTTCTCCGAGCAACATGGGGGCGACCTACCTGGGTGTGAACGACGTGGTCCAGGAGCACGACGACCTGGACTTTACGATTCTGAAGGTGGTGATGGCGAGCTTCCATACGAAGGCGACCGAGATCGTGGACGCGACCTTGCCGGGAGAAGTGCACCACCGCCAACACGGGATGCTGAACATGGAGTACTACCTGGCCCTCATGGCAAGAAACGTGGTGGGGCGGACCATGATGGCGAAGCCGAGGAGGTCCCGAACGGAAGGGGGCCGAGCGAGAGGATGGTGGTCCCGACCTTCAGCGGGACGATTGCTGACGGCGATGACGACTTGGGCGCCTCAGCGAGATCGTACCTCCGCCAGATCTCAGCCTGGGTGAAGATGACAAGAGTGACGAAGGATCGCCAAGCCCTCGTGTTATACCAACATCTTCAAGGACGAGCTTGGGTGGAGGCCGAAGGGTTGGACATCGACAAATTGGCGACGACGGCTGGACTCGAGTACTACCTTGACTGGGTCAAGGAGCGCTACCTCGACGTGCAGGTGACGCAAGTTGGACGGAGCCTTTCTGAGTTCTTCAGGAAGCTGAAGAAGAAGCCTGGGCAGAGCATCCGGGACTTCGTCGGAGAGTACGATCGTGCCCACGCTCGTCTGGTGGAGTGCGGGTGTCGACTCCCGGACCTGGCGGCGGCCTGGGTCTTCGTGGACCGCATGGGCTTGGAGGAAGCGGCGGAACTCAACTTGCTGGCCTCGGTGGGGAACGTCTACGACCTCAAGCGTCTCCAGCAGGCAGCCATCGTGCAGGACCGAGCCCTCCGTAAGCCATGGGAGGCACAACGACATGGCCGTGTTGAGGACAAAGGACACCGCCGCGAATGGTGGGGAGGAAAACGGCAGAGTGCATTGATGGCTGGCATCGAGGAGGAGGACGACGACATCGACGAGGACCACCACGCCGAGGAGGCCGAGGACTCCCCCGAGGCGGTTCCCGAGAGCGTGGCGGAAGAACTGTACCATGCGTACATGTCCCATGAAACGGCAAAACAGCGGTACAGGGACAATCTCAAGCTTCGGGGAACCACCGGGGACACGTCGGAGAAGCTCAAGGTGATTGCGGCCGACCGCTTGAAGGCAGCCAAACAGAAGTCCTTTTGCGCAGGGTGTCGTAGACGGGGTCACTGGCATAAAGACCCGGAGTGTCCTATGAACCAGGGTCGACGACAGCAACATGGAGGTGGAGATGGAAAAGATGGCGGTGACCTCAAGACGAGTTTCCACACCCACGTCGTGCACGTCACCTGGGACTTGGATCGCGAGAAGGACGACGGCATGGTAGAACTCGAGGCCATCACGGACACGGCGTGCTCCCGCTCGGTTGCTGGGGCTGGATGGTTGGACCTCTTCATCGAGCACACAGCCCGACGTGGAACGGAACCGGTGATCTTGCCAAACGATGAGCAGTTTCGGTTCGGAGCCTCCAGAGTTTTCCGTTCCAGTTACGCGGCCATCCTCACCTTCGCTCTGGGAGAAGCTGTTGTGGAGGTCAAGGTGGCAATCGTCCATGGGGAGCTGCCGCTACTACTGAGCCGGGCGGCACTGGCGAAGCTCGGCATGGTTATGGACGTGGCGAAGAACCGAGCCAACTTCGACACCGTAGGGCTCCGAGATGTTCAGCTTCGATCGACAAAGACCGGGCACCCGGCTATCCTTTTGGTTCCTGCACAGGTTCCCAACCCTACCGGCACAGATCCGGCGGTGTGGGGAGACACCGAAGTGAAGATCCATTTGAATGCGGCAGCATATATGGCTCCTCGCGGGGGAGATGTCCAAGGGGAGTTGGGGAAGGATAGCGCCGGTTCCTTTGAGGTGCATATGGTTTCCGTTGACCAGGGGTTCGGGACTGATGAGGCCTCCAGAGACCAACTACAAGAACAACAAGCACAACAGCCTCGAGGACCTCAAGTACCAGAACCACAACATGCATTACCTCAAAGACGAGATCTGCGTGCTCCATCTGAACTTCAAGGGTGTCCCCAAAGAGCCTCAGAGCCCCAAAAGAAAGCGAGCACTCTTTTCCTCTTCTACCCCAAGAAGATTGACCCGACCATCAAGAACATGCTCCTCGGAGACCACCTCAATGTAGAAGCGTTCATGACATGGTGGAAAACCACTCCTATCTCCAATGATTTCTGGTTGGAGGGTGAGAACATCATTGTCAGGGTACACGTCATTCCTAGGAAGACCATGTTCACGCCAGAGGGATGGGAAACCAAGAATGTAGACCACAAGGCCAAGCTCCTCCAGAGTCTCGGGAATGTCCGTAGCACGACGGGAATATCCTGCAAAACGCATCGTGACCTCAATCCTGTTCATGGACCTTGGCGAGGGGAGAGACAGGGAGAGACTTATCCTGTATTATGGGTAGGCAGGACACTGTTCATTCGGCGCAGCTTTTCTGGAACAGTGTGCCCAATGGGCGCCGCTGTACCACGAGTACTCCCAGCTTCCCATCGATCGCACAGGCATGGACTCCGTGCCCACTCCACCAGCGAAGAGCATCCACCACATGCGGAAGAGCGAGTTGATCGAAGAGGCCCATCGCCTGGGGATCACAGTTCAGACTCAATGGACCGTGATCGAACTACGTGCCATTCTGCAGGAGGAACGGGACAAAGCCAAGGCCTCCACCACGGGAACGACCCCGAAGGGACTGGCATCCATGACCCTCGACGAGCTGATCGACACCGCCACCCGCATTGGCATCGAGCTCCCGGCGAAGAAGAACCGCGGCATCATCATGAGGATGATCAGAGACTCCACGCAGGACCACAGCCAACGGGTCATGAACTTCGGCAGGTACAAGGGGCTGATGTTCAAGGATGTTCCCCAGGGATACCGGCGCTGGGCTCAGGAAGAGATGGAGAGGTCAGACAACGCCTCAGAGGACCTACGGATGTTTGCGATGTGGGCGGCAAGGGCCGAGGAGACCATGCTGATGAGCACGTACCACCAGGACCCCGAGATGGCGTCGGACAACCCGTACGTGCCGGAGGAAATGGAGTCGTGGGACCTCCTGAGCGAGCCAGCCCGGAGATGCCTCCAAAGCCAAGGGATCAGGGAGGACTACACGAGGCCGATGCCACCATCCGCCAGGAGCATGAACCCCACGATGGCGAAGGCAATGGGGAAAGGAGGCACCAGCCCCTACGGCAACCGGGCACCACTCTCGGAGGCTGCTCCGAAAGCCAAACATTCGGCGACAAGGACAAGGGCACGATCAGATCAGTCGTCGATCAGTTCCATGGAGCTGGCAGTGGAGGCGGAGACAATGGACGAGATCCACCATTTGGAAACGAGGCTTGCTGTGCTGAGAGACAGGGCGGGTGTTCCTCCGCCAAGGCCCTGAACAGCATGAGAGGGGGCCCCGGCGACACGGAGGGGGCCGCCGATAAGGGCCACCATTCCCTTCTGCCTGAAATCGACATGATGCCTGGGACTGAGTGCGAGGACCGGAAGATTGCGATCCACGAGGAGAACGGCAAGGGGGCAGACGATGAGATGGGAGCGGACACGGAGTTTGAATTCGAGACGGCCTACGACGACACAGAGTTCGACGATGCTGTGAAGTACGTGATCGGCGAGGCTGTACAAGTACCTCGCGAATGCGAGGGGATGGATGGAAGCTTGAATGGACGAGACAACCGTCCTCTGATGGTCGAAGTCTATGCAGGTGTTGGGCGTCTGGGCAGAACCTTCGAGAGACATGGTTTCCGGGTGATCCGAGTAGAACGTCCGACCTGGGACCTCGACCAGCTCGACCAGAGGAAGGCACTTCTGGCACTACTACATGAACAACGACCTGAGGTACTATGGTGTGCTCCGGATTGTTGGCTGTGGAGTGCCATGCAGAACCTCCACGGCAAGGATGCAGAGAAGAAGGAAGAGCTCCTTCGGAGAAGAGAGGAACACCACAAGACACACCTCAGCTTCGTCCGGCAGATGTATACAGAACAAGAACAGCGCGGTGGCGTTGGCATCATAGAGCACCCTTATGGTTCCCTGGCCTGGTCGACGCCATCATTCCGGGATCTTCCAGGAACGAGTTGCAAGATCGACCATTGCGCGTATGGATCGGTTCTGCCGGACAAGGAGGGTGCCATGCGACCTTTCAAGAAGTCCACGCGGTTGCAGGTGACGGACAAGGAGATTGCCGAGTACATCCAGAAGACATGCCCGGGAGGACATGACCACCTACATCTCTTTGGAGGAGGGAAGGGCTGTCCCTCCCTGACGAAGGCAGCCGGGGCCTACCAGCAGGGGTTTTGCGACGTGATCGTTGGCGGTATTATCCTGTACCTCCAACAACAAGAAGCCTCAAGTGAGCAACCGAGACAAGATGCAAGAAGAGAAAACCCTGGACGGGGGACCAAGGCCGAGATCCTGCAGGAGTGTGAAGAGTTTGCGAGAAAGGCGGTCATTGAGAAGGACTTCACCTACGCGACCCTACAGGACTTGGTTGAGCTCCTCCCAGAGGACAAGAGCAAAAGGGAGCGGAAAGCGGTCGAGAAAGATAGGGAGAAGGACGAGATGAGCAAGGATGGGCTGGCCGAGAAGTGCCTGCTCGGTGGCTACTGGACGCGCGGTGCTATGGGAGGCATCACTAACGCATCCTCCGACCTTCCTTGGACATGCCGGTACATCAACATGTGGGGAAGATTCCGTATGTCAGGGAGCTGGACGTCCTTCTACCTTGCCCTTAATAAGAGCCACGCCGTTCACACGGATCATCACAATCTGCGCGGCACCATGAACGCCACCACCACCTTCGGGAACTTCGCAGGTGGCTCTCTTTGGGTGGGAGATGCTGAACAGCACCCGGACCGACAGTGGAGGAGTGATGACGACGGGGTGTGGAGGACTGACTCCAGCGGCAAAGTACTTCGTGGTCAATGCATCGACACCAAGGAGATCCTTTATGCACTGGACCCAAAGAGACCGCACGCGACCCAACCGTGGACCGGAGACAGATGGGTTTTGACCTTCTACACCACCCGGAACATCCTCAAGGCGGACTGGACCCTGAAGGAACGTCTACGGAGCCTTAGGTTCCCTCTGAAGGGAATTAGTGCAGAGGCCGATCATAGGCCAAAGAAGAGCATTAGAGGGCAACTCGGGCGAATGGCAAAGCGTCTTGGAGCACTGGCTACATGGACAGTGTTGGCAGCATCCACCTACTTGGAGCCGTGGCAAGGCCCTGCCGAGAACACCGTGACGTTGCTGGAGATTGGAGGAATGGACAAGACCTTTAAAGCCATTGACCGCGGCGGCATCACCGCAGAGCCGATCATGTATGAGGACCTTCGGACCAACCGTGACCTGGGAAGGGAGTCGATCGAAGAGCTACATCCTCACACATTGTGGATTCACGGTGAACGAGCGCTGGACACCCTTGTTGAAGTTGAAGAGATGGTTTCACTACAAGTGTCCCGACAGAAGAGGTTGATCATCGAGGCCGAGATTTCACATGAGATCTGGACCAAAAGCGACATGGTGCGGGAGCTCTTGACCGGAGATGAGGACATCGTCTACGTGAAGAACGAAGGAGGAAACCGCATCTTGGAGGTGAACGGATCCACCCGCGAGTGGGACGAAGCCGTCACTAAGGGGGACGAGGAAACCTTCCGGGTCTACATGGTTCATGGAGAAAACCGGAGGGAGACGAGTGGTCCGGTAGTCCGGCAGGGGAGCCAAGCGATCTCCTTCCCGGGGGAAAATCCGGTCCGACCAGAGATTGCCTCAGCCCTCAAACGTCTCCACCAGAATTTGGGTCACCCCGCTGAGAGTGACCTGACCCGACACCTCCGTTTAGCAGGAGCCGGCACAGAAGTCATCAACGCCTCCAAACGACTGCGGTGTGAAACTTGCAATCGGTGCAATCAAGGAGGGATACCTCGGCCGGCATCGCTACCCACGGCACTTTCTTTCAATATGGTGGTCGGGGTGGACGCCTTCACGGTCGTGGACTCCACTGGAAAGAAGCGGGAGATGATGTCCGTCTACGACCACGGCACCTCCTACCACCTGGTGGGAGAGCTCAAGGGGCACAGTACGCAGGCGATGGAGGAGACCTTTTGCGAAATCTGGGCCAAGACTTTTGGTGCACCGACTGTGCTGGCCTTGGACCTGGAGACCGGGCTTCAAGCCGGCCTGGCGAGGTTCGCTATGTGGAATGGCACAAAGCTGAGGAGCGCTGCGGGACAGGCCCACTGGCAACTTGGTGCTACGGAAAGACACAATGGTCTATGGAAGGCGATCTGGAATAGGGTCTGCGATGACATGAACATCACTGAGGTGGACACCGCGCTCGGGATTGCGGCCGTGAACGCTGCAAAGAACGAATTGAGAAGACAAGATGGTTTCTCACCGACGCAAGCAGTGTACGGAAAGGATCCCTACGTGCCTGGCGACCTCATCGATGGCAAGGACCCCGAACAGCAGAACCACATCCTCACTACGGACCAACAAAGAGCACGGGAACATAGCATCCGCATTGCTGCCAGAACGGCGTATTTCCGATGCCAAGGTGACCAACGTCTACGAAGGGCTCTTCTGCAAAGGACACGTGTCGCCAGGGGTGAAGTGCAAGTAGGTGACCTTATCTACTTCCATCGCAAGCCGAAGAACAGCAAAGAATGGATGTGGAGAGGACCGGCCACGGTGATCGGAAATGAGAACGGGAACGTCTGGGCATCCTTCGCAGGCCGATGCCATCTCATCGCCCCGGAGCACATCAGGAGGGCGACGAATGAAGAGATTGGAACGGCTTTATCGATGCGACTCACCAAGAACGACCTGGAAAAGCTTCTTGAGTACGACCCGGGTGACCCCGAGATGTACGTGAACGAGGAGCAACACCAAGATGAGGAGAGGATTGGCGGTGAAATGGAAGGCGAAGGTGAACCCATGATCCTAGAGGACTCTTTTGAAGATAGTCGTGATCACCCACCACCAGAGTCATCACCATCAGGCCAGGGATTCCTTCGCCCAGCACCGGATGATCGACACGATGGCAACGTGCGGAAAAAGATGAAGGGGAAGACGCCGATAGTCCAATCGGCTCATATGGTCCGAAGGGCAAAGACACCGAGAGGAGTCGAAAAACAGTTAGAAAAAGAGCTTCCCTGGAGCATGATCCCGCCGTCACAACATCAGGCTTTTCGAGATGCAGAACTAAAACAGTGGATGGAGCATGTGGACCACAATGCCGTGCAGCCCGTGGACGTCGAGACCAGCAGGAAGATCTTGGCTGAAAAGGGAGACAGAGTATTGCCCAGCAGGTTTGCCTACCGGGACAAGAACTGGTCCAAACGGCGCAAACTGCCTGACATCGAATGGCGCCACAAGGCACGCCTCGTCATTGGAGGCCACCTTGACCCAGACCTCCAGAAGGGACTGGATACCTCGGCGCCGACGGTTTCGAGACAGGGTGTGCTACTCCTCTTGCAAATCCTCGCATCTCGTCTCGGCGATGGGTGGGGAGCATGTGCTGGCGACATCACAGCTGCCTTTCTCAACGGAGAAGAACTCCGTCGTGAGTTATACATCCGTCAACCACGAGGAGGCATCGGGAACCTCCATCCCGAACAGCTCATCAAACTCACCAAAGGAGTCTTTGGGCTCGTAGACTCCCCCCACTCCTGGTGGAAAAAGTTGAGCAAGGAGATGGCCGAGATGGATGTGGACCTCCCGGACGGGGACAAAGCGCGCCTGGTGCAATGCGAACTCGACCCGTGTATATTCCAGCTCTGCAGGATCACTGAGGGAGTACCGGTCGGTGAACCTCTCGCATACCTGGCGGTCCACGTTGACGATTTGCTGGGAATAGGCCACAAGAAGACGCTAGGTCGTCTGAAGACGGCCCTCTCCCGAACCTTCCCGGTGGACGACTGGGAGGACGACCTCTTCGAGTACATCGGGTCCTTTGTGGAAGTCGATCGCGAGGAAGGAGAGGTCAGGGTCACCCAGACGAACTACACCGAGACGCGCCTCTTCGAAGTGGACATCCTCCCAGGACAACTTGACGGGGACGCCGCTACGCAGGAGCAGAGGGCGGACAACAGGTCGCTAGTGGGGGCCTTGTCGTGGCTTGCTGGACAGACAAGGGCAGACCTGCAAACAGGAGTCGATGTGTCAGCAACTACAAAAGGATCCGACTGTTGGTGACATCAAGTTCTCGAATGTGCTTTCGCGTCGGGCAAGGCAGCACAAGGAGCAGGGAGTACGACTACGACCTGTACGACTCGATGATGCGGTGCTTCTCTGCTATCACGACGCTGGTTGGGCAAATGCTCCGCAAGATCCCGAAGATCCTTTCTATGTGCTGACCCCCGAAGAGGAGGAGGCAGGAAGAATTCGAGACGGTCCTTTTGCCGAGAAGGAAAGAAAGGCGAAACGCGGGACCTCAAAGATCGCATCGCAGCTGGGAGGGATGTTCTTTCTGGCGAACCGGGAGATCCTGTACGGCAAGACGGAGAAGCTCAGCCTCTTGGACTGGAGGAGCTCCGCCTGCGATCGGGTTTGCAGGTCGACTTTCGCGGCAGAGACGATGGGCTGTGCCGGGGCCGTCGAAAATGGGGAATACATCCAGCTCCTTCTGGAGACCCTCCTAAAAGGACGGCTCGTACGCAGAGGAGAACCAGCCCGACTACATCTCCGCTACATCAGCGACTGCCGTTCCTTGTACGACCACCTCCACAAGGAGGGAGTTCCGAGGGTGCCCTCGGACAGACGACTCGCCATCGATGTGGCCGCCATCCGACAAGATCTGAGAAGACAAGGGAGATTGGCTTGGGTGCCTACTGATCGGCAATTTGCTGATATCGCCACCAAGCCTCTGAAGCCGGATGTTTGGTGGAAAGATGTAACAGGAGCGGTGAAACTACCGTTCATAGAAGCTCGTTTTTGAGCAGTGTCAATCCAATGAGCCACAGGAGCCGTTGCACACGAAATCGCCGATGGAGGCACAAGCGTCAAGCTTTAGCTAGGGGTGAAAAGGCATGGGCCCGCGCTGTGCGCGCTTTTTGGATTTAGACTAAACCCTGCCGCTTCCCGCCTTCTCCACGAGCTTGCGCTTCGCCTCCAGCTGCGCTTCGCGCTTCGCCAGGGTACCTTTGCGGGATGCAGACCTTCAGTGACAGCGCTCACTGCGCGACACGACACAGGCCCCTACACCTTAAACCCTAAACCCTAAACCCAAAACCCTAAACCCTAAACCCCGCTCCCAATTTTACTCTCCCTGACTGCGCTGATCGGCCTTCCTCCTCCAGCCGCCGGCGCTTCGACAGGTGAGCCCGCGTGGCCTCCAGCCGCATCACCTGAAAGAGCATCGGTGGGTTTCTTGAGGTTTGGGGTTTGGGGGTTGGGGTTTAGGGTTTAGGGTTTAGGGTTTAGGGTTTAGGGTTTAGGGTTTCGGGTTTAGGGTTTAGGGTTTCGGGTTTAGGGTTTAGGGTTTAGGGTTTGGGTTTCCCACACTGGAAGCTGTCATTAGCAGATTTCCTGAGTGGTTGGTGGGTCAAAGGCAAGATTCAATAGTCGCTGCAATCCGTAGCTCCGCATCCTGGACCATTTTTGTGTACAGCAGGGCATGAACAGCGCCCAGTCAAAGTCCAAACATTCAAGCGCTCTCTAAACGCTCTCCAAACGCTCTCCACGCGCAGAACCTGAAAGCCTCGAACCCTGCCAGCAAGCCTGCTCCGCTTGCAGGTCTGTCTGGCAAGCCTCCAGCTCACCAAACCCAAAAAGCTACCGGGTTTCGCCAGGACTTAGAGTTCCGGAGGGTCTTAGAGGGCTTTGGGGGGTTGAAAGCTTTCAGGGTTTCAGGGTTTTGCGCCTCTGAGCACATGTGCTGCGCCCTGCCGTCCTCACAGCCTCGGCTCTTCCTCCCCCCCATCTTTTTCAGCTTTCTGATTCTGATAGAAATGGGCGTTGAGAAGCTCCAACAGATGCAGCCTCTCTCACTCCCCCCTCACTCCCCCTCCCATCTCTTCCACACTTTCTACAAGTTTTGCCTTTCTTTCTTTTTGAGTCTATTTGAGATTCTCCAAAAAGTGCAGCCCCTCTCACTCCCCCTCACTGCCCCTCCCATCTCGTCCGCGCTTTCTACAAGCGTTGCCTTTCTTACTTTCCGCCTCCCTCGCGGCTCCTCGTGCTGTGTACGGCTTCGATCGGCTTTGCTTCGTCAGGGTTCCGTACATCTTGCCAGGCCGCCGGCAAGAAAGGTATTGGCGGTGCAGGGTGCACGGTTGAGTTGGGTTTTAGGCTGTGGGATCGGGGGCTTGTATTCAAGACCTTTACTTCAGGTCCCTGCTTCAGTCAAGCTTAGGTGGTCTCGCCCGGCATTTCAGGATCCAAGCTTCCAAACGACACACGACCGGGCCACGACCGTTCCCAAGGATCCCGATGGCCTTCTTCAAAGCTACGATTGAAGGCTTTCGTGCTTTGTGGGTGAACAAGTTGTAGAACACAATAATAATAATAGTAGTAATAATAATAATAGTAATAATAATAATAATATGCCATGACATCAAAGACAGCTCGGGCCCCCCCAGGCCTGCGACCGCACTTGGGGCACAGCCTGCGTCGACACGTTCAGGGCAGAAGCTGTGGATTGCAGCTGTGAGTTGAGATGTTACCCCTTATACGAACAGTCCTTGATAGGGATAGTCATCGGGGGTACTCTGATCCCTATGAAAGACATCCCAAGCTATGACCCTCCCTCCCTCCCCATCGATATGTTAGTGAAATTTCGGGGAATCGCAGGGAACCTCCCACACAACGCCTCCGCGTAACTAGGGTGGTCAAACGTACGAGTCCGACAACTCTGTAGCTCTCTGCACTCGAGCACAAGACCGACTGAGTTGAGGTCCATGTTGTCGCCATAACATGTTAAAAAAAATACCTCCCTCCACCCGCCACCCGAACAAGGGCCAACAGAGCAACAGAAAAACACCGGACAAAAAACACACACACACACACACACACACACACACACACAACATGCACACCCTGTAGTCTGCTCGTGACGCTCTCACCCAAAACAAGGTCTCGTGCCCCTTCAACCTTAAAACCCAAAAGTCAACGGTCGAACCTCCACAGATGCCAGCGCCCGCAACCGCCGTGCGAGAGCGAGTGCCTGTAGAGTTAAGAGTTGAAGATTCTGATATAGGGGCTTTAATAACTAGAACAGGGTTTGGGGGGGCTGTTATCGTACACTTATAAAGGGAATGCTACTTGTTATTCCGACCCCTATGTTACGCGCGTAGAAATCCTGATTGTAGCTTTAGGGTTTCGGGGGGCTCAGGGTTGACATTGTTGAGCGACCTGACTTTGAAACCCATCTTCCCACTAGATTGTCTATCCGGCAAGTGGATGAGGTCCTGTCTAGATCAACCGAAAAAAAGGTAGTGGATCGACAAAAAAGTTTACAGTCCGTTTCGTGTTTGCTGGCCTTGAACCTTGCACCCTAGGTGAAGGCAAAAGACTAGGACTAAACTTCCAAAGCGGGCCCAAAGGAGGCTCGAAAGACCAGGGCTGCTACAAGCTTCAGGCAACGGGTTCAGATGCCCTTTCGCTGGGCCCGCTGCATCCTTCAGGATCTCCCCTCGGTCATTGGCCTTGTACTTTGGGCGGTCCCACGTAAACGCGAAAAGGACCTCTTTCGTTCATGTAGGGGAGTTCGGGGATTTTCGGGGAAAGGTTTACATCCAAGACTGGAATCATAGTTGGGTTGCGGCAGCACATGCGGCTGCTGCCTTTGTAGACAACTGGGTGGACCCTCTAGAACTGCAATACGAGATGACTCACCTGAGATCGACGTGGGCATTATTCTTTCACAGCATGTGGACGCACTTGCTGATGCAGAGGTACGAATGAAGGCCTTTTGCAGGGTATTGTCGACACTGGAGCTGGGCGCCCTAAACCCTAAACCCTAAACAATTAGCAATTGTTTAGGTTCCTGCCATGCAGACGACACTTGTCGTTCGCGGAACTCTGCTTGGTTTGGGCTTGCAAAGCTCTGAGTTCTTGCGCTTCCCTGAACACCCAGGAGGACGGCATCCCTTGCGACAGCCATGGAAGAAACTTAGAGCCCTGATGTCCCCAACACTGAGATCTGTGAGCTTCAAAGCTTCCAGCTTTAAGCTACAGGTCCTAAAACAAAAGCTACGCTTGAGCTCACCGCACCCATCCCCCAGAACAAGCAAGAAGCTCAAGCCAGAAATCACAAACCTGACGGTGTCCCTTGCAGCATTCCGCCTCCCACCAAGCGTCCTTCCATCTTGAAGCTCACCCCTGCTACCCTGGGATGTTGCCCCTTATACTACCAGTCTTTAATTGGGGTTATAATACCGCGCCCCTGTAATCCCTATTCAGGACTGCTACTATAAGGGGGAACATCCCAAAGTACACCCTCTCACGCCGTCAACCGTCAGTGAACCGTCGCTAACCGTCCCGTCCCTGACACGCCGATGCTTAAGGCCCGATGCAAAGCCAGTTCTCCGCACAGATACGGATCGTGTTCATAGCAAATAAAACGAAACGCAAAACCTTCGAGACTGTAAGGAAAAATATGACAAAATACCCTGACCCCTAAACCCTAAACCCTAAACCCTAAACCCCAGACCCTCAACAGCCCTGAGGCCGCGGGCATCCTTCAGGACCTCTTGTCGCTCATCGACCGCCTGCGCCAGCGAGGGCAGGGCTTTGGGCTCTTGAGGGGGCGTTTGGCGTGGATGTGTGGGTTCGTCTCGCGGGTCACCTTCCGAGCCTGAAAGAGACTCCGGATTTAGTGTAGCTTGGGTGGGTGGCCTTACGACGGACCTAGACAGATGAAGCCTCCAAACGGCCCAGAGCAGTTCAACCTTGGAGCTGCGAAGCTCTGAGCTTTCTGCCTCAATTAAGACAGGTGGTACAGACAAGATGCACAGTGGGCTTTTAATGGAGCCAATGCATCTACCACTCACCTAACAATTTCCCGCGTCATGCAACTTGTGTAGAATTTCACGACGTATCCGTGAGCAGCGCTGGCATCGAAATCATGAGATACTGCGCAGTTTGTCAAAATCTGTGCAAGCAGGGTAGGCTAATGTAAGCTAAAATTCAATTTTCCCACGACAAGTCCCGGTGATGGACCGGCCTTGCAAAACTGTGGTCGGCGCTTGTGGCGCAGCTTCAGGCGGGATGTAGGATTGATCAAAAGGACACAGAAGCCAGTGGGTTCGTGAGCGCCATCGCGAGCACATTATCAGGTTCAGCAGGCAGGGCATAGCAGCGCAGTGAGCTGCATGAGTTCCGGTGCTAAGGCCATGCTAAACGGCATTGGTGCTTCATCATGTGGGTTGTTCCCAACATACGAGTTATACCCAAATTTGCCTAAAATCCCCTAAAAGGGACCCCAACAAAAGGGTACCCCTATTCTGGGAAACCCCCATGGTAGTAGGAGAATAGCCGAGGCGAAAGCCACTGATCAAGGATCGCGGCCTCGTCTCTCTCAGCGGCCTCGTCACCGGCGCATTCGTCCCCGGTTGGAGACACTGTGGACACCTCCTGGGCACGGAAAGCACCGCTTAAAGCACCAATTGACGCACTAAACAGGCTACTAGTATTGGTGTGTACAAGCTCAACAAGCCTTTATGAATTCCATTTCCTTTTAAAATGCAGAGGAAATATTGAGATCTGAAGAAAGTAGAGGGTTTTCTATTCAAACACGGTGAAATTACATCTGGAGGGAACAGACAAACATGCAGAGGAAATGTAGGCATTCCGATTAGAAGGCAGAGACATGGGAGCCAAAGAAAGCCCTAATCACCGCATCATATTCTCACAGACATCGTTCCCTACTTGAAGGGTTCGCAGGGGCATGAGTTGAATGGGTTTAGGGTTTAGGGTTTAGGGTTTAGGGTTTAGGGTTTAGGATGTAGGGATGTTTTCATGCACATATGACAGACACCAACCTCATGGACTCAGATTTGGTAGGCCACAACTTGGGCAAAAGAACACACGCAGCAGTGCCTCCTGCTCAGTGGGAGAGACCTCCTGCAGAAACCAGGGCTTCGAGTTGGAAGAACATTCGTTGGATTCATCTGGTACAGAGAATACAGCATACAGAGTGGGTTCGGGTTTTGGGCGGCAACATGTGGGCGTTTAGGGGCTCAGGGCTCTATCCCCCGGCCTCCTCCTTGGCAAGCCTCTGCAAGTCGTAGTTGTCCTCGCAGCTGCAGCTAGTCACGTCTCACAAGCTCAGCATTCCGAGTTGCTTGTCCAGGGGTCTCGGGGTGTTAAGACCGGGCACATCTGTCGACGCCCCCTATTGTTGGACAATGTTGGACATCTCAATTCATGTCTCAGGATTCCCAAACCTCAAACGCGTCCTGCACACAGGAAGCTTGGAAGTTGCTTTGGGGGGACTTCAGTTCTTTGAGGCTTGTACTGCTAGAGCCGTGCGCACTACATTGGTTCGGTGTGCCTGCTCTTTCCGTGCATGGACTGTGCTGGGGCCTAAGCAGGGGTTGTGATACCTTGTCTATCAGGCTTTACGTCTGCCGACTTAGGCATTCGGAGAGATTCCACAGTCCGAACAACGATGATGCCAAAAGACCCAACAGAAAACTGCGCAGCTCAATGCCCCAAGGGTGCTTCGTCTGCCCGAAGCTTATGACCACTTGCGATGCTAACAAGCAAGCTATTCACCACCTGACACAAACGATCAACAAACACCAACTGAAATGCCCAAAGACCCTACAACCACAGCGACAAATGGACTGCAGCGAGCCCAGGTCATGAGTGAAGTTGTGGACGGCCAGTCGTCGCAGCGACTAGCAGGGAGGACAGCGTCTGGGGATTCTAGCGTGCAGAGCCGTCAGCACCAAGTTGAGATGGCAAGCTCGAGACTGTGGATGGGGCAAGGCAACACCAGTCGCCAAAATTTGATGCACCACATGTATATCATGTTGAGGCTGAATGTCGAGCCGCAGAGACCCACAGCAATCAAAGTCAACTCTTGGAGTTGAACAACGATCTTTGAACCCAGCAGAGCAGCTGTTCGAAATTTCAGAATGAAATTAAAACTGTAAAGCTCCAGGCGCTTGGTGACATGTCCAGCAAGCATGGGTGGTCACTGCCTCTTCGCGGTCGTACATATCTGCTATCTCATCCTGGCCCAAAAGGCTTGCAAAGAACTGAAGAGTTTGGGCCTAAGGCCTAAGGAAGCTGCACAGGGAGGAACCCCACATCTAGTTCATGGTTGGGATAATACTAAAATTTTTAATTGTTCATTCCTTATCCTTGAAAATGTAAAATGGTACCCAACTATGACACAAAGACATACCACCATGAACTCCCAGCTTGATGACCGAGCGAAAGCTGCTCTACTTGCATCTTCTCCTGAAAGTTTACTTGAGCCATTTCTCAGTTTAGGGTTTAGGGTTTAGGGTTTAGGGTTTAGGGTTTAGGGTTTAGGGTTTAGGGTTTAGGGTTTAGGGTTTAGGGTAGGCAAAATCTTCAGCACTTGCCCGTCACACCTCTGCGTCCGAATCCAAGTCTGCCCAGCGGCGATCGCAGTTCCTGCGACCGTTTTGCAGACCAGAATGGATGCAAGCTTATACCGGGTAAAAAGGATCACATGCTGTACACGTGAGTTGAGAAAAGAGCTCAGCCACTGGCAGGGGGGAGTTGGCTCCCTTGTCCAAGCCCCGAAGGGAGGTAGGGAGTAGGAGGCACAAAGCCCCTAAACCATAAATTGAGCCCATAAAGAAACCCTAAAACCGTGAACCGAAATACCCTCAGCACTTAAAACCCTAATCTGTAAATCGGGAGATTACCAGGAGGGTAGGAGGTGCCTAAAGCCCGAAAAAACCCTGAATTGTAAAAAGTTTAAAGGATGGTGGGTGCGAAGCCCTAAACCCCAAAATTCAGAAATCTGAAAAGAGACGGTTGCAGATGAATAGCCAGCGCTTGAATCGGGGTTGGCTTGGGAACCGCCAGTGCTCGAACCACTCCGGTACTTGAAACCGCAACCCTAAACCCTAAACCCTAAACCCTAAACCCTAACCCTAAACCCTAAACCCTAAACCCCAAACCCCAAACCCCAAACCCCAAACCCTGCCAGTGCTCGAATCGTGGGTGCTTGAATCGCGGGTGCTCGAAGCACGGGGTGCTTGAGTCGCGGTGCATCGAAAACGGCGCTTGAGTCGCAGTGAGTTTTTACGCTCGGCCACAAACCCTAAATTTAGCAGGTTGTTAGGGTTTAGGGTTTAGGGTTTGGGGTTTAGGGTTTAGGGTTTAGGGTTTGGGGTTTGGGGTTTAGGGTTTAGGGTTTGGGGTTTAGGGTTTAGGGTTTAGGGTTTAGGGTTTAGGGTTTAGGGTTAGGGGTTTGGGGTTTGGGGTTTGGGGTTTACATCGCGCACTTCGGATACTCTGAGGTGGCGGCGCCGACTGGTTGTCAAAGATGGGGCTGCCTTCGCCTTCGGTAGGAGGTTTCGTGGTCTGATTCTGCAGGCGCAAATAGGGTTTAGGGTTTAGGGTTTAGGGTTTAGGCTTTAGGCTTTAGGCTTTAGGCTTTAGGCTTTAGGCTTTAGGGTTTAGGGTTTAGGGTTTAGGGTTTAGGGTTTAGGGTTTAGGGTTTAGGGTTTAGGGTTTAGGGTTTCGGGTGACATTGGGGTTCCAGCCGTTTGAAAATTCTGGATCTGCTGGCTTGAAGCTCAGAGGAAAACAACAGCTTCCGACGGTTCAGCTTGAAGCCTCTTACAGGCAATTCTGAGGGTGGGTTGAAGGGACTCTAACCCCTAAACCCTAAACCCTAAACCCGACCCTTCGATCGGGTGATAGACCACATGAAATCCCGAAGCTGTAGACTGTTTCATCCTGCGCACACGGTACACTCACCCCGAAGCCTTGGATTTCAGAACACGCTTCGCCACTCGCCAAACACCCCAAAGCAACCTTCTGGACTTCATATAAGAGAATGATCCAAAAGACCCATGGCGCCCACAAGCCCTACAAAACGAGTCAGAACACTGCAGGGCAAAGAAATTCGGTTGAGCTGCACGTCTGCATCCCAGCCAGCGCCCGAGCACCGTCTCAACAGCGCCAGCAGGGGCAGCGATCCAGAGAAAAATTGGCGCCAGCCAGACGGCTGAGGAGATTGGGAGGGCTTTGAGGGGGGATAACTTGGCAGGAGAACCCCGACGTGCACCGCTTGGTTGGAGCTTGGAGCTGTGGATGATGTTGGGCTCAGTCTCGCGTTGAAGCTTGAAGTAGGGTGCTGAGCTTCGTGTCTGGAGTTAGTTTACCGTAGGAGCGGCTGCTGCTTTCGATGTCCTGCACTTAGAAGTCTTACTAAAGCATGAAAACGCAAGAGTGTTTTGGCCAATGTGTAGAATCAAGCAATAAGGGCCGACAATAAAGACCCTGCTCTGTGTGCTGGCTTTGCGGGGCTTTTCCAGCTTGCTGGCATTTGCTGGCTGCGCATCAGAGCCCGAAGCTGCACGGACGAATCGATATCTGTGAGGCGTCCACGTGTGTCAATCTGGGCGACCACAAGTAGATTTGTAGCGCATGCGTCTCGCATATCCAGGAAGCCCTCTGCGCAACTCCGAACCCTAAGCCCTCGAAAGCCTTCACCTTTTGAATAGGCACAGTTACCAAGCGGGCGCCTCAGTCAGACTTGCATACTAGTGCAGCACTTTGACAAGCAGGATTACAAAACGATGTTTACAAATTTACGGAATATGGCCAGGCCCGGAAGGAAGCTTTGCTAGCCAAATGTGTCAATATGGAAACACCTCTATAGCGACATCGGTATTAGACATTGATTTTCATGCAGATATAAAGAATGCCGGGAATATAGGTATATAGAAACAGATATCGATGCAAATGTATGTATAAAAAAACGAAAACTAAACCTTTCTATCTATATCTATCTATATATAAATGTTGCAAGACACGCAGGATAACAATTTGATGGCAAGATGAGAGCAAAATGGCACGCAGATGCTAAGCCGCTAGGTCTTGGACCTCGTACTCTGAAGTCTGTGGGAAGCACCCCGCGACTGCCTAAAGCATCTCGATCAAGGCAGGAGACCTGCCTGGCTTGCGAAGGCGCCACGAAGCGGCGAAACCATCAGCATCTGCTTGCATGTGGCTGACAGAATGAGCTAGACTTTTGAATCCTGATGTTGTATGCACAAAAGCGCTGCGAGCTGGCTGGTGTGGGGTTTCTGCCCCAGGTTCTTCAACCTGCTGCCCGGTTCGAACAGCTCGGCGCGGCTTCCACAAGCTCGGAAGAAGCGACAAAGGCATGACCCTTTCAGCTTACGAAGCCCAGCCCAACATGATGCAATATCGAGGCTGTCGACAAGAGTCTAAGTTCTCAGCACCTCGATGATTTGCTGATTTGCTCGCTTGCCTCATGCCTAGCAGCTGCGGAATAAACCCAGCGAAAACTGAAAGACCAGCAGAAGGGGGTGGTGGTCGGTGCAGTACCTGTCCCAGTAGTACTGCAGATAGCCGAGCGGGCTTGCCTTGGCAGTCGGACAGAATTAACAACTTTGAACGGCCAGATGAGCTGAAAACTCTCCTTACCATGCAGGATTCAAACTTCTTCAGGACACCCAGTCTCCCCGGCACCGATTTGGGAGCACATGCTGCACATGCTGATGATCACCTCGCTGATCGTGGAAGAGGAGGGGAGGAAGCGGACCGCCCGGGCCTTGGCCTAAACCCTAAGCCCTATGCCCCAAACCCTAAACCCTAAAGCCGAAACCCTAAACCCTAAACCCCAAACCCTATATAAACCCTATATAAACCCTATTTAAACCCTAAAGCCTAAACCCTATATAAACCCTGGTCCACTGCGGCATTTGGCGAGCGTAGAGAACTGGCGCTCCAGCAAAATAGACCTGGCGCGGTCCCTGAAGTAGGTGGCTCCAGCAACCAAGCCCAAGCTGCACGGCGCCAGGGTCTGTGGCTTTGAGAGGTATGTTCCCCAAGCCTCTACTCGCTTTATGTACCTTAAGCAGCCATCACCGCTCACACACGCTGAGGGCCGGGCATAGTAACAGTCTCGCATCTGTTTGGCACAGGTGGGCTTGGCAAAATGATCCTCCCCAAAGCTGGGAGGCCAGGCTTCGTTTTGTTTCTTGCATTGGTTCGCCTCTGGCCTCATCCCTGTTCTTTGGCTTCCTTGGCTTTAAGGCTTTAGGGTTTAGGGTTTAGGGTTTAGGGTTTAGGGTTTAGGGTTTAGGGTTTGGGGTTTAGGGATCCCTGTCCATCCTTGGCTTCTCAGGTGATTGTAAGGACCCGCCCCATGCTGGTACTCCCGAGAACCGTCCCCGTCCTCCAGCATGCTGAGGACTTGGGCCTCCAAGTCCTCGCGCGCACGAAAGGAGTCGGAAGGGAGAAAGGATTTAGGGTTTAGGGTTTAGGGTTCAGGGCTTAGGGATGGGGCGCTGGAGGGTTTTTGGGCCCTTGACTTTGGGTGAGTCTCGGGGGGAGGCGGGTGAGGGTTGCGAGCTGGCCCCTGGAGTTCGCGGGGGCAGGTAAGGAACTCGGGTAGTAGGAGCATGAGCATGCACTGCCAACACTCACCTCCAAATGCCCCCCCGCAATACCTCTGAAGACGTTCAACTCTAAACCGAAACCTCTGAGACTGTAAGAGCTCGGTAAGCCCTAGCAAAAGTGAACCAGGACTCAGCACCCACAAATTCCCTGAAGCCTCACATGCTCAACCCCTCTCAAACCTTGTAACAAGATCCCCTAAACCCCTCCAAACCGAATTGCACCCGCCTCGGTCTTCTTGAGGCGAGCAGCCAGGGCCTGGTAGTTCTTCTTGGCCTGGGCCTCCTCCTGGGCACCGCGTGTCTTGGCAGTTGTGGATACTTGCGGAGCCCGCTTGCGCTTGTAAGACGCACTTTGGAGATGTGTCGGGCCGCGATCTTGGGCTGTTCGTTTAAAACCTTTAGGCCGCGAGTTCCAGGCTTTTTCAGAGTGCCCTACATTGCCCTATGCAGCCTCTGCATCATAAGGGCAGGCTCTCGGAAGACACGGAATCTAAGACACTAAGGCATGCTCGAAGCCATCCTGACATCTGGAAATCCGCAAACCCTGGCCCTGGCCACCCAGCGCAAGCCCTTGCCCTTTCAAGCCCAAACCTCAAGGATTTAAGCTGGCAACTTTCAACCCTCCATACACAAGTACTTTAAGCCATCTATAACTGTCAAAAAAAAAACTCGCAGAGAAGGCTCCCCCCGGATTCCCCTCTCTCGTGGCCTCTGCGATGGCCTCGGTGCTCTTGCTGCGTGGCCGATAGAGGCACCTGGGGGGGGGCACTTCATGGAACTTCACATTATTTCTGACTCATGTCATGAATATTGCTAGTATTCTTAACGCTGTGAATACTCTCATGTTCTCAGTATTGTCAATATTATCCATATTTTCAATATGTTCATGTTATGAGCTTCAAGGTTTGAAGCCGCTTTCTGAAGCTTTCGGGATAGGGGGACGTGGAGTTCAATTGAAGGCTACTGTTGCAAAGCGAAAGCAGGATGCCTAGCCTTTCCACCTGGGCTCGGCACGTTGCATAGATGGTGAGTACCATGCCTTTGCTGCCAGGTTTAGGGTTTAGGGTTTAGGGTTTAGGGTTTAGGGTTTAGGGTTTAGGGTTCAGGGATAGCTGAAAGCTTGCTCTGCATCTTTCTGTTGAAGGTGCCAGCTATCCGGAGTGATCGCAGAAAACTTTGAACAGTCGAACATCAAGCGCGTCGCTGGCTCCATCTTGCTAAGGGCCAGAAGCATCAAGCGACACACAACCTAAACCCTAAACCCTAAACCCTAAAATATAGCAGCCCAGCTGCCCACACCAATCAGGATAATCGATGCGATGACCTGCCGCTGGAACGGTTCATGGTGGGCCCCTGACCTTTTGAAGGGTGGGCAGCTTAAGAGGGCTTCAAGACGGGGCTTAAGAGGGAGTTTAAGAGGGAGCTTAAGAAGGGGCTTAAGAGGGAGCTTAAGAGGGAGCTGAAGTGCTTTCACGTTCGTTCGGGGCTAGTGGAAAGAGGACCACCTTGGTCTGTCGACTTCACATGACTTCACCAGAACCGTCCCATGCACCTCTTCTCAATTAGCCCGCCATGCTCACACTAAACATGTATGCGCACGTCTTCATTCCCCCCCCCCCCCCCCCCCCCCCCCCCCCCCCCCCCCCCGCCCCCCCCCCTCAGCCCACCTCGCTGCTGTGGTGGGCGAATGCGCACTCTTGACCCACCCCGAGGCGGCACCTCAGACACATTCACTCGAGGCCAGGCTTAGGGTGCTAGGATCTGGGAGTTTAGGGTTTAGGGTTTAGGGTTTTGGGTTTAGGCGGTTTAGGGTTTAGGGCTTAGGGCTTAGGGCTTAGGGTTTAGTGTTTTGGGTTTAGGCTTTAGGGTTCAGATTTGGATTTGGGGGTTTTTAACCGCAGGTTGGAGCACAAAGCAATCCCTGGCACCTGGCTTGGCTGAAAGGCAACAAAAGTGGGGCACCCGAGGGCGGAGCAGCCGAAAGCCCGACGGCGTCTCAGTGCAAATGCTGCACCTGCAAGCTGCGCAAGCATGGATTCTTCACAGCTCTGCCTATATGGGGGGGTTGACGATCTTCGGGGTAGCTTATTGGGTGGTGCTCATTATAAGGGGATCCTACTATTTGGGTTCCCTATGTTCGTAAACCCCATAGTGCCATCCCCTCTACAAGATCTACAAGCTTGTTCTGGGCTGCACAACGCTGTTTACAGACCGCTGCGGGGCTTAAATTTCTAGGTCCAGATCAAGCGAGTCGGGCATGACGTTTCATCCTCGCTGCCCACTAGGGTCCAGACCTCAGTGCGGGGTTTTGGAGGCTGAAGAAGACCCACGACCAATTGATAAAATATTCCATTTGGTTCCAACCTTTCCTTATATATTATATTTGACAGGGTTAGCCAGCAGAAAGCTAAGTGCGCTGAAAGGCCGGGTAGTGCACATGTTTCAAGTCTGCGTCCACGCACGAAGCGCCGGGCGAGGACAGCCAAGCCAAAGAGCATCCAGGCGAGGCCCACGAAGACCTGGCTTTTTTGGGGGTTTCTGTCCGGTGTTGTCTGTTTTGGCCGGGCGTTGAAGCGGTTGCGGTGGTACAGGGGCTTGTAGAGGCCACGGCCATTTAGCATAGCCAGCGTCACGCATTCGATGTTGTTTCCGTCCTTTACCCTGTCCCGTCTGCCCTACTGTGTGACCTTCCTGATCCAGGAGCTCATTTTGCACACCTTTTTCATTCGCACATTTTTGGGTCCCTAAACCGTCTAAACATGTCTGAACCCCTCATGGTTTAATGGCAGAGCCAGCATGGCGGCGTAGCGGCGCTCCACGATCATCACGCGGCTTTTGACTTTTGATGGATCAAACTCCTGGCGCAAAGAAGTCTCGACAGGCCCTGACGTGGTCGATTCAAAATACTAAAGAAGTGTTTCGAGGTCAATGTACCCCAATGCACAGGACGTCGCAAAATTGGCCTAGAAAACATCTACGCTGATGTAACAGCCGCATCTCCTGAAGCTGAATCTTCAGCTCTTCGGGAGAAAGGTTCTTCCTCGGCTTGAGGAGGAATACTTTGTGTGTACGCATGCGCCTGCCTGTGTCTGTGTGTTGAACACTGCCATACATGTGACACATCCAACATGCTCTTCCGCAGCTGCAGCAAACAAAGTATGGAACCCTGATGAAAAGTTCTGAAATCGCCGGAGACGTCCGTCTGACGTGCCTGCTCTGATCACTGCTTAGGTTACACTGTACTTTGCTCCACCATGGCTCTTGCTGCTCCGGTATTCGATACGGCTGAGGTGCACAGCAAGCTTGGAAGACGTTCTACACGTTCTGAATCAATTAGTCGCTCGTTTTGAAGTGTTGAGCAGTGTGACTGCAGTGGTTGCAACACGTCCCTGAGCAGTCCTGTGCCAGGCTGCACAATTCTGAAGCGTTGAGACACCAGCCCCCGACCCCTAGAAGACACAAAAGACCCTCGAGCTCTTCAAGCCCTACAAAGCAAGCCACAGCCTGCGGACAACCACTTCCCCCCCCCCTCCTGCGCCCGTTCAAACGACGGCCCCTAAACTACGAGCAAAGCGGCTTCATGTGCACTGGCAAAGCGAGCTCGATGCTGAGCTCCTTTCGGCGCCTGTCTTCTCGGGTACAAGGAACTCTGAATGCACAAGTTGGCGCGCCCTGAATCGAAGCCATGCGTCACTCTCAGCTTCTCCAAGGACTTTTTACCCAGAAACCTCTGATGCCCTAAGCCTCAAACCCGCATGCCTGGAGATCCTGGGGACCCGAGATACCAAGCCCGCGTCCCGGATGGCAGCTTCATAGTCAAAAGTCCTTCGAAACCCTGAACACTGAACCCCCGAAGGAGAGCAAAATCACACCACCCAAAGACCGTTCCCGACCCCCTTCATCTTCGACTCCCTCTCCCGCGTTAAGAAATATGAAGAACTCCAGGGCAGTAACATTCCATCAGGTTCGAATCGAAGTTTCGCTGACAAGCAAAACCGCAGGAGAAGCCACGATAATGACCTGAATGGACTTCGGCTTTCATAGACCCTTTCGCCTTCTAAGCCTGAGGCGAACTCCGATAACATCCAAACAGCCTCAACAAAACCCTCGCTTAACCTTGCTTTGAACCTATGTGAGCCCCAAATTCCCCTAAACCCTAAACCCTAAACCCTAAAACTTCTGCTTCCTGACCTCCGCTGCCGCTGCCGACGGGCCTTGGCCCGAAGTGCCTGTGCCTGACAGGTGGGTGTTGAGGTCTTTGGACACGCACACACATAAATGTTGTTTTGTTCTCATCGGTTTGTTTTGTGTGTGTGTGTGTGTTTTTTTTGTTTTTTGTTTTTGTGTGTGTGTGTGTGTTTTTCTTATGTCTTGTTTGTGCGTTCGCTATGTGTCTTGAGTTTGGGGCTGCACAGGGTTACAGGTAGATTGAGATGCCATTTCGGAGTTTGTGGCGTGGTGAGTCCTGCGACTACCACTGCAACTATGTGCACCCACTTGTCACCATTCGTTAACCGCGTCCCTCCCCTTACTGTGCGGTTCTAGCTCGCGGGTACCCAAAAATGCGCAGGGCGATCTGCACATCCCGAAAGACCTCCGTGTGCCCATGAAACATACCTCTACATCTCAAGGGATGACTGCACGGTAACTTACGAAGCCCACGTGCCCTACTTAGGCAACAAGCGACAAACGGCATCCAAACAAACATGCCCAGGCACGTGGTGGCTCCGGTTTCTTCACTCTTTGCATGGACCGATCTACGATCTTTGGTGTGCGGTCTGGGAACGGTGGCCTCACTTTGGCACGATTTATCTCGGGCAATGTGCAATCCATTGACTCGGGAGATCTCTTCCGAAGATGGGCCACAGCACCACTGCTTTCATAGCACACAAAAGTAAACTGTTGGGTGTGCTACCTGCTACAAGATCTCGGGCCTTTAGCTCGAGTGACATCATGACGAAAACTCGTCAGTCAGACATTCTGGGTTTGCGATGGTCGACATCGCGTAGACTCGCCTGCTTGGGCACAGAACCTGGGTCAGCTGTGTCTCTTCCAAGCTATGAATTCGTCCTCGGAATCGAACCCAAGGCGATTCTTCATGAAGATACCCTTGTTCAGCTGCGTGGAGCACAGCGCAAACCCGCACGAATTAATCTTTCCTCGCATGGCTCACACATGATGGCCCAAAACCCTAAACCCTAAACCCTAAACCCTAAACCCTAAACCCCAAACCCTAAACCCTAAATAGTCATTAGGATTTCAGGGTGTCGGGTCTCGACTCCAGCTATCGCATATCTAGCAAGGCGGCACCCTCAAGTCTGGCAGGCCCGGCACGAATGGCGCACCTCTTCAAACGAAATGGGCCTTTCCTTAGAGTCTGGATGAGTTGCGTGACGGAGTTTAGGGTTTAGGGTTTAGGGTTTAGGGTTTAGGGTTTAGGGTTTAGGGTTTAGGGTTTAGGGTTTAGGGTTTAGGGTTTAGGGTTTAGGGTTTAGGGTTTAGGGTTTAGGGGCCATGAGCCTAGAGCCTAAGAGTTGAAGGTTGAGGTGCCAGATGGTGCACGGCTTCGGGCTGAAAAGGTCGCCTGGGTAGGCTTTTCCCTGCAGGGCTGAGGGGTCTCTCGCAGCTGGGGCTTCGCGCGAGCCCCCCCCCACCGCTTATTTACACCCGGTGAGCCGGAGCCTTCAACACCTCAACCTCTGACCCTCGCTCACTAAGCCAAGACCAACCCTCGAGCTTCAACTACACCATATCGGGGTTTATGATCATAAGGGACCCTGAATATAGGCCCCAAAAGAAAAGAAAACCCTTATAATAAGGACCCCAACAAGGAAACCCCTAAATTCGGAAAACCCCCCCTATTCGAATCTTGGCCCAGCGGCGGTGGGTCGGCAGCAGGCCCTCAGCCGAGGGCTTGCGGTTGAAACGCACAGCGCCTGGCTCGACAAAAGGCTTAAACCCTAAACCCTAAACCCTACGCCCTCCCCTGGAGTTCCATGGTTTGCACAAGTTCAATGGACCAAATTCTCACCGTTTCCTTTTCTCTTTGTTTCTGTGTTTCTCTATTTAATTGTCTTTCTTTCCTGATGTCTTAATGTTTATTTCTTAATCTCATGTGTTTTTTCCTTTATTTGTTTGTCATTGTTCTTTGGCATCTCGTGATGTCTTTCGTTCTTGATTTGTTCACTTCCTCGTGTCTTCATTTCTTCAATTTGTTCATGTCATGATTTCTTGATTTCTTGCTATCTTTTCTCTATGATCTTCTCTTCCCTTTCCCAGGGGAATGAAGCCCAGTGCATGACACATACCCTTGCGTGTCTCCACTCAAATTACACAGCAGCCGGCGTCCCCAGACTGCGCTTCAGCACAAGCAGACGGAGTTGTCCCCGAACAGCACCTCACAGCCCCGACTCGAAGCCCTCGCCAGAAGTCCTCCGAACACCAAGCACCGCTACACCTGAGCTGCCATCCGTCTGCTATGGGGTACAGTTCTCGACCACCACTTTTGCATTGTGGCGGAAAGCTGGAAACAGCGGGTCCGCTGCCTCTAGTTCTATATCAAAAACCGTGCCGATCCTGTGCGCGCGCGCACGCGCGCGCGCGCGCGCGCCGCTTGGCGGTCGAAGTTTTCGGGTCCGTTTGCAGGCTTTTGCGCGGCCGACTTGTAGACGGACTTTTGGTGTCTCTACGATATTTCGGACAAGAAAATTCCCGCAACTTTGGTAGCGCAGCGCAATCTTGTGGACAGAGATCTCGGAACTTTGGCAGCCTTCGCAGCACATTCTTGCAAAGGGTCTCCCCCCAAATGCGCGCAGTTCCCCCCGCCCTCCCCCCGCCCTCCCTAAACCCTAAACCCTAAACCCTAAACCCTAAACGCCCTCCCCCCTCCCAATGCCCCCGGGGCGCCTAAGAGCATGGCCACTCCGAAGCAGCCAGCACCCAGCAGCCGCGAGAGCGGGCGCCACTGGCCAGCACCAGCGCCTTTGGAGCTCCGGGGTTTCTCAGGGCTGTTGAGATTTGGGGAGTTTACGATATTCGGGGTGCCTCACTGGGTTGCTTACGAAGAGGGAATCCTACTGTGGGGGGGACTATATTCGGGGCCCCTGATCTTCGTAAACACCCTTTTGCCCTGGCTGTGGACTGCAGAGGATGGTGGAGAGATGTGGAGAGCGGTAGAGCACAGTAGACGAGGCGGCTTCGGGGCCTCGGGTTTTCGAATGTCTTGGTCTGCTGCGGTTTCTCAGAGTTCGCGCGTGGTTCGGTGTTGATGGTGTTGTATGCCCTAGACCTTGGACTATGCAACGTACAAGAGAACAATGTACGTACGTACTCCTTCTCCGGAGGAGCAGGTCCGTTTCGGCGAGGCAAGGGGCCCATAGCGAGAAGACGATTCTGCCTAAATCCCAAGTTCGTAACTCCTGGAGGTCCAGAGCATTGCAATGCTCTTAACAGGGAAGCCTCAACGCGACGCCTTCAAACGCTAAACCAATCAAGGGCAGAAACTCTCTGAAACCCAAAAGCCCTCGTGACCCTAAACCCTAAACCCTAGACCCTAAACCCTAAACCCTGAACCCTAAACCCTAAACCCTAAACCTCGGAGCCACCACCCCCCATATGTGCACACAAAAATCACCCTAAACCCTAAACCCGAAACCCTAACCCTAAACCCTAAACCCGTGGGAGGAGGAGACAGGACCCTGGCCCTTGTAGCCCGCGATGAGCTCTTCCTGGCTCCACAACAAAGGGTTTAGGGTTTAGGGTTTAGGGTTTAGGGTTTAGGGTTTAGGGTTTAGGGTTTAGGGTTTAGGGTTTAGGGTTTAGGGTTTATTGTTTATAGTTTATGGTTTAGGGTGTAGGGTTTAGAGGGACTTGGTCAGCTGGACTCTGCAAACTCTGCATTGTCAGAAGTTGAGAGTTTAGGCTTTGGGCTCTTGAGATATGTTGGGTGTCTGGCTTAAAGCTTGTGGTCTCAACCGATTGGAGGGGTGGGGAGAGGGCGGAGAAGGGCAGCCACAGACGAATCATAAGCCCTGAACAACACAGCCACATTTAAGTTACTTACAGAGTTGGAAGAAGAAATTCTGCGCGGCCTGTGAGGCAGAGAAGGTCAATTGAAGCACCCAAACAACAAAGGCTACTCTAGACGTTCGTGGGAAAACAAAAAGCATTCACAAAGATGGCCGCACCTCTTCGCTCCACTGCGACATCCACCTAATTGCAACAGAACATACTGTCGCCGGTGGGCAGAGTTGGTTCGGGGGGCCTCCAATAAGACATGCGACCTAGTGGATATCCGTGCTGATGAAGCGGAGTGCCGTCAGAATCTTTACCGATGCGAACAAACCCGAGCCAACAGCTGTCGGGAAAGCTGGGCGTAAAAAAAAGAAGAAGAAGAAGAAGAAACAAAAAAACGCACGCTCGGACCCAATGCCTGAACGATCACCCGCAATCACCCTAACCCAATTCAACAAGGAACCCGGGAGCTGGGGATGGGTTTGGATGGGGACCTTCTACGGCCAAGGGGCTGCAGCTCGGTGGTGCCGTTTGTGACCTTAGGGCTGTATACTCCTTGCTCAATGTCTCTACGGTTGACGGTCAAGATGTGCTGAGCATCTCTGAGCCCGTAACGTTGAAGGCCGGTAATGTCTCGGATGACAAGGACGATGCCTCTGCCTGCAGAGCAGAAGCAGGGAGTCCAGTGGCTCAAGATTTCATTCCTCCCGTAGCGAAGTAAACATAGCGGATAGCACATGCAATCTCAGGCAATAGGTATGATTCGGAAATCCTACATAACGTGGCTTGATGCGAAGTATCTTGCACGGGCCCAGGCGAAGGCGCACGGGAGGAAGCATTAATGAAACGCAATGCAATGTTTTATTGATGTCAAAGGTGCTGGACAACGGTGTTACGGATGCAACGCTGACCGATGCGCTGAAGATGCTAAGTCCGGCTTTCACTGGACGCATGCTCCTCTCTCTGCATAGATGAAAAGCCCAACATTGCTGGAACTGCCAAAGCCGACGTTCACTTGAGACATGCTCTCCTCGCTGTAACAATGCACCACCACTCAAGCTACAACTCTGCTCCAAAGACCTAGCGCATCACATCTCCTAAAAGCATGCTGTGCCATCTCGGAATGCTCCCACTCTGCTGGTGACGCAGTGGTCGATGTAGCTACTCAAAGTCACTGCAACCGTATTGGGTCCGCTTGTCATGCCAATTGTTTGTACTCAACAGCGAGGATGTACCATATACAGCGTATGTTTACAGGATGCTATAACCATCACTGTTTTCAGCGGCTTCACACAAACACAGACACGAACATGAAAACACACACACACACACACAGAGACACACACACACACACACACACACACACAAAGTTGAAAACAAGTATCTCGCGCAAACACAAGCATTGGCCTTCATAGTCTCTTGTGAGGCCACATACTCGCCTGCAGAAGGCACGGCCCACGAGCTGGGATTCGGCACTTAGCACAGGAAAGCCAGACGTGTGACGTCATACTTGGAGGTTCATGGGTAGTTATAAGCAGGGTTCGAAGTGCCCTGAGTAAGGTTATATGTCCAAGTATGGTATCAGGAAGTTGCTGCAAACTAGAGGTTGCTTCCTGCTTCTTGCTGCCTGGGTTCTTGACGGGCTCCGGATGTTATATTTGCGTGCAAGGGAAAACATGGCTGTGCATGGCAGTGACTGTGACATGCATTATGCATTGTCTGGTGACGGCAATGCCACCACCGAAAGCAAAAAAAGACATGCGGCACTCTGCTTAGGTGTTAGCAGCGTGTAGGCTCTCCAGGGAATGATGTTTCACCAAAGAGAAGACCGCAACGTCTCAAACTCAAAATGCACAACCCCAAAAACCCACCGTTCCAACCTCCAAGCCAAATGATAACAATGACGATAACCCACCGTTCCTCAACCTCCTCAAGCAGCCCACTACAGGCCTTCGAACTCCAATGGCGCCCGGTGGACGGTGGTGCCCGACTTGTGTGGGAAGGGGCATTCACGAGGGAAGACCTAAGGGCACGCAGCACGTGGAGCGGGGCTGTAAGGTTTTATGAGGAGATGTCGAAGGGCCGAAAGAAGTGATTGAGAGTGGCTTGACATCAGCATGACGCTTCAAACTGAAAGACTGTAAAAGGGCTAAAATCAAAACACTCAGTCTTGTTGGAGTTCAGTCTTGTCAGGACAGATGGTTCACATACAGCATATTCTTGTATAAGTTTAGACCTCTTGGGACTGGCTGTGATGGACTGAGCCATACTGAACTTGGAACCCAAGCAGAACTTACTTGTTGTTTTTCTGTTTCTTAGAAATTAAAGTACCCAAAAAAATATACAATAATTTCCAAGTACCCCTAAGTACCCAAAAAAATATACAGTAATTTCCAAGTACCCCTAAGTGAGGTTGCGGTTTGGGTGGTGTCAAGGCCGTGCGATGGGGAGCGCCCTCGGAGAGGTGCACATTGTAAAGCCCTACATCTCATCCTGAGTGGGGTGTGGGGGGGGGGCCTCAAGGATTTAGGGTTTAGGGTTGAGGGTTTAGGGTTTAGGGTTTAGGGTTTAGGGTTTAGGGTTTCGGGTTTAGGGTTTAGGGTTTAGGGTTTAGGGTGGTAGAGAGGAGGCAGACAGAGGCGGAGCGGAGGTTGGAGGCGGAGGCAGAGGCGGCAGACTTGGGAAGATTGAAGCAAACACCAAAAAGACACCGCGCGACGCGGAGAAAGGAAGCTATGTCAGCGTAGACCCTGAAACAGTGGACGACACCCTCCGAGACCACTCCACAAGCACTCCAAGACGACCTCAATGTTCTCTGCACTTGGCAAGGAGAATGCGCACGGGACCGAGGCGAGAACAACTGCACGAAGCACACCCATTGAAAAGCCCAAAACGCAGGAAGGCACGAGGCTGCCACGTTTTCGGAACACAGGTCCAGCAATCTTCATCAATCTAGGCCCCCTTACCTTTTACATCAAGACTCAACAGTGTTGGCACTTGTTGGGGGAATAAAGGTAAATATCAAAAGAAGGCAAGGCAAAGTAACAAACGAGAGATTTGAACATTCAAGCCTGAAGCCAGCTTTTCGGCAGTCTAAGACGGTGGCGGTTCATGCTAAGAGTGCTCTGCTCGGAATGTCATCACAGACGATGGCACCACAAATGCAGCCGTTCTCCGGTACAATTTTGCCGGCAAGCTGCATAGTGAAGCCACCTCAGCTGATGTAGTGGGGTCAAATAGGTGGGACCGTCGTACCAAAACCCTCCAACTCTGAAGCAGGGGCAAGTGTGGCAACGCGTGGCATTGATCCTCGTGCGAGGGCTAAGCTGCGCCATGATGATAATTTGGCCCAGCCACTGCAGGAACAAGCGGCCGTGTATAGGCACCTATCGCGAAGCTTCAGGATTTTGCATCCAGCCACGCACAAAACTGGGAGCTTTGATTCCGAGCTGGGGTTTATAGGGGCGTTTCTGATTAATCAAGGGAGCCTTTCCTCCTACATCTTGTCCCAAAATTTGGCAACCTGCACTCTCAAGAGTCGAAGCTTGCTGTCTTGATGAACGATTGTGCCCCACTTGTCACCTGTGGCCCACAAACCGAGAGCCCAGAAACTCCCAATAGTTGGTGTTTCGAGGAAAGAACGCCCACGCCTCGCAGCCGCAGCAGCAGCAGCAGCAGCAGCAGCAGCAGCAGCAGCAGCAGCAGCAGCAGCAGCAGCAGCAGCAGCAGCAGCAGCAGCAGCAGCAGCAGCAGCAGCAGCAGCATGAACATGCAAAACCGCCGCAGACGACGTAAGCCGCTTGTCAGAATCACCTTTCCCCCAGCGCTCCGGAATGCTCCGCATCCCGGCTGGCAGCTTGAGCTTGATACTGCCGACGACCCCTCTTGTCTTCTCTTGGGGTGCTTCGGAAGCACTCTGACCTTTTGAGCGCCTGTGCTGGTGCGGCCACAACACAACTGCATGCTCCTGTGCAAGAAGGTGCCCCTTTTCTCGGTGGGCCTGTGCGCTGCCACTGCCTCCCTTGCCGCAGCATTTGTCGCGCGGAAGATCCCAGAATACCAGAGGCATGCAACCACTAAGAGTCCGAAGTCTCATCTTCACCGTTTGCCCAATGAGCAAACCCTTAATCCCAGATGTTTCAGAGCCTCAAAGGCCCAAAAGCTCGCAACCCCGAAGCCCTGAAGGCACCCAAAGCTCGAAAACCGGCCCAAAGCACTCTATAGGGCCCTATATATATATATATATATATATATATACCCTTTGAGGGACTCTATAGGGCCCTCCTTCCCTCATTCCCTACTAAGAACCAAACCCAAAGAGGCCTCACCGCCGTGGCTTGTGGCAATGGCCTCCAGCTGCGCCTCCATCGCCGCGTCCACACGCGCGTCGGCCTCGTCCTGGCTTCGGGCTTCTTAGGGGCTTCGCTGGTGCTCGGGCTCCTGTGGATGTATGGGTATGGGATGTAAAAAAAATACTGCGCGCTTTTGGGATACAGCGATTCTGAACTGAGGGTTACACTTAAGGATTTCTGATTTTTGGCTCAGGCAAAAGGAAAGTCGGGTACCACGCACCAACCCCCGAAAATCCTCCAGAGAGGTTCCCGAGGTCATGTTGCGAACGACAGCCAGGATCCTCGGCGGTGCGCCAGTGTCCAAGGAGTTCTATAGGTTTCGACATGCAACTGCCACAAGTCCGAGGACGTCAGATCTTCAAGATTCACATCGTCTACGGTGATTGGGTTTGTGACAGCGGTAGCTCAACAAATGTTCAGGACGCACGACTACCACAATGGCAGAGGAATCTCGCAAGACGGTCCAAAGACCCAGGGCCAAAAGCCAAAGCCCAAAAGTCCGAAATCCTTGCTCCCCAAACAGTCTGGATTCCTAAAGGAAACCCTTCATAACCCTCCCCCCTTAGAATACAAGCCCATCGAAAGAAATCCCAACGTCTTCCTCAGAACTCCCTCCAAGTCGCTTCTGGGGCTCTGCTGTAGGGCTCCTGGAGAAGCTGGTCTTTGATGCGTAAGGGTTAAGGGTTTAGGGTTTAGGGTTTGGGGTTTAGGGTTTAGGGTTTAGGGTTTAGGGTTTAAGGTTTAGGGGAGGTTCGGGGATTAACTAGGAAGAGTGCGGGAGACTCACACCCGAGGGAGCTGCGGCTGTGTCTAGCTGGCTCGTGGTGCTCAAACTCCGCACCTGAGGGACCGGTCGAGCTCCGCCAGGAGCGGGTTGCAGTCGTTAAGGCAGCAGACCATGTAGTGGTTCGTCGCGACCTTCTCTTGCCGGCGCTTGGGGAAGTTTTGGGCCTTGCGGCATTCTGTATGTCGCAACACCGCCACACCAGCATGGGGCTGACAACAAAGGCTCAACGAAAGGCTCAACTTATCATACGCCTCTCCGATCTCATCCAATTCAAAAGCCTGTTCCAACCAAGCCCCGAAACTCCTACAACTGGAACGCTTGGCCGCCGACGATGCAGTTCGAGGCCGCTTGGATGTAGTTTGGGATGATCACCTGCAGACGAACATACCATATATACCCTGGTGAAATTTGTGGCTGAGGGTGAAGTCAAGGAGCCTCAACACCTCTTTAGGCTTCAGACTCGTTCCCATCAGCGCCTGCTTTCCGGCTCGGCCCGTCTCATCCAGCGCACCCAGCTCCCGCAGGTAGGCCTTAGCAAGAAGAGGAACCCTAAACCCTAAACCCTGAAACCCCTAAACCCCTAAACCCCTAAACCCCTAAACCCCTAAACCCTAAACCCTAAATCATTCTCCTTCTACGCCGAGCATGCTCTGAAACTCTAGGCAAGCGAGGCTTGAGGCTTTGAATGAGGTTCTACATTTGGGGCACCAGCATGGCACAAAGAACCAACTGCCCTAAACCCTCAACCCTAAACACTAAAAACCCTAAACCCTAAACCCTAAACCTGCTTCAGACATGCAAAAAATCGCAAAAAGGCCCCCCCCCCCCCCCCCCCCCCGAATCTGCAACTGCCGCCTCGGACTCCGCGAAGCGCCAGTCAGCTTCAAGCCCTGTGCCTTGGGATGTTTTTTCTGAAACTAACAGCTCCTTAGTAGGGATTCAAGGTACTCCCCATAAATCCTTAGACTAACAGCTCCTTAGTAGGGATTGCGGGTACTCCTGATTATAATCCCTCTTAGGGGCTGTCAGTAGTCCTTGATAGGGATAAAAGGTACTCCCTGCGCTCATCCATGTTAAGGACTGTTAGTATCAGGGGGAACGTCCCAACCCAGTGCCTTTAAGCCATGGAATCCTGAGCGTGCGGTGGCCAGGGTTTCGAAAGGCCGGGCCTCAAGGTTTTGACGCGAACCGGGAGCTTGACACTAGGGCTCAGAGCTGCATTCTCCAGAAGAAAGCTGCAGGACCGACGCTCTTCCCCCCCAAAAAATGGGATCTTGACTCCCAGGGTAGCTGTCTTCCGCTTTCGAGGATGGGGCCCAAGCCTCCCCCCGCCCTCCAACCCTGCGCCCTCATCCCTGCCGGCACTTTGGCCGTCGGACTTCCTTCAATGTGGAAATTGTTCCGGCCTCCTCTCTCTCAACCCATTGCAAACCCATTGCAAACCCTTGCAAACTTCGGCCCCCCATGCCTCCCATTCTACGACTCTTCTGGACGCTTCTCCAGACCCTCTATGCACTCGACCCTTAACTACGAATCCTCTGCCCACCCTTCCTGGACTTTGATTGGAAGCTCCTACAGACCTTCCATGAACCCTACATGGACGCCCCCAGAGCCGTACGGACCGGCATGGATGGTTTTCGGACCTCCTGCTGGCCGGTTGCCCTAATCCCGACAGACATTGCCTGAGTAAAGCGTCGACTCACATGCTCAAAGATGCTACATGTTAAAGGTGGAGAAGCTCAGAGCCAAAGCGGAGCAAGGTATGGTTTTAAGTGCTCCTTCAAGTCGGATAAAGTAGGGGAACGCATGGCACCGAAGCAAACGTAGGATGAGACAGGGAGAGTGTATGTCTCAAGGTAGCTTCGCCCCCTTTAAAACTGCGCCTCCAAAGCATCCAAAACCGAAGTCGCATTGAGCCACACGCTCAAAACCCTGAGCCGTCAACAAAGAACACTAAGCCCAATCCTGAATCCCTAAGTCCCAAGTGGCCCTCAACTTCAAGGCCAAAAAGTCTGCCGAGCTGCCGTAGAACTTGGACAGGGGCACCCGGCCTCAGCATAAGTTTGCACAAGACTTGCAACCAAATCTTGCTGGAATCTAATTCACAGTTGCCTCTTGTCGGCATGCTCCAACTAGACTGCAGAAGCCAATCAAGATCTAGGCTGCAAAGGGCTTCACGGCTTCAAAGGGAAAACCACCCAAAAGAAAACTGACAAACACCCTCAACATTGAACTTCCTGATCCCTACATTGGGATACTTACAGGCTTAACTAGGCGGCCGAGGCCACACAAACACGTCCAGACAACTTTAGCCCTCAAGGCCCACGAAGGGTCTTGAACAAGACCCGAAACAGACTCAAACCACGGGTCCCGTACCTGTACGCTGCGTATCCATGGCGATCAGCTGATCCTCCGGCATCATGAGTGCTTGAAGTGTCCGGTGTTCTTGTTTCTTGCGGGTTGGGGCTTGAGGGTCTACTCGGAGGGGTGATGGGTGGTTATAAGTAAGGTTAGAAGGTACCCTGAGTAAGCTTCTAAGTATGGTTACCCGAATTCTAACCCTACTTAGGACTACCCATGAACCTCCAAGTAGGACTGGCATTGAGGTTGGAATGTTGTGCATCCGCCTAGCTTCAAAGGACCCCCTCGTCGCCACATTGCTACTTACGACCTCTTCTTGAATTCCGTCTTGAAGGGCCCCCTAAACCCTGAACCGTAAACCCTAAATCCCTAGTAGGTTCCACAGCGCAGTGTTGGCAAAGTGCCATCAACTGTATGAAGATGGGCTCAGTTCATCCCAGCTCCGCGGAAAGCCCACCCTAAACCCTAAACCCTAAACCCTAAACCCTAAATCCTCTACAAAAAGGTGAGCTGCTCTCTCAACGGGGCTAAGAGGGCTTGGGGCTCGAGGCCCTTGGCTTTGAGAGCCTTCATCTCAGCGCACTCCGACTCCCAGAAGGACGCGAAGGAGTGGGTGATGCCGCCCACGATCTCAGGAAGGGTTTAGGGTTTAGGGTTTAGGGTTTAGGGTTTAGGGTTTAGGGTTTAGGGTTTAGGGTTTAGGGTTTAGGGTGTAGGGTTTAGGGTTAAGGGTTTAGGGTTTAGGGTTTAGGGTTTAGGGTGCAGGGTTTTGGTGAAGGGGAGAGGGGGGGGGGGGGGCTGCCAGGGGCTTAAGGCCTGAATGTAGGCATAGAGCAAAATGCCGGATGCACGCATCGGAACCGCTTCTTGCAGCCCTTAATTGCTGGAAAAGTGAGAGCTCCGAAGCGAGCTGTACATTATGGACCCTAAACCCTAAACCCTAAACCCTAAACCCGAAACCCTAAACCCTAAACCCTAAACATATGGGCCGGCGCTGTGTGCTCAACCTTCCGCGCTGCAGCGAAGCAAGGTGTTTCAGAGGCGTGGCCCACATGCCCGAAAGTGGTGACACCCAGACCCAACTCAGGAAAGCCCCCTAAACCCTAAACCCTAAACCCTAAACCCTAAACCCTAAACCCGACAAATCCACGGGTTGTGTGCCTGGTGGGTATCCTCAAAGCTGTACCGTCCCGCAGCGAGGCCACCTTGGCGAGGCAACGGAGAGAGCACATCTGCTTTGTGGGCGCAGGGTCCGACGGAAAGTGCCCTAAACCATCTTCCTGCTACATCTCCCCCCAGGCTGATGATAGCATCGACTGCGGATTTCCGAACCACGTCCTGAACTTCATTTAAACTTGGCAGCTTTGGGGCATGTAGAATTGTGAGTGTCAGGTTTGGGACTCATCCTCTCGGCATCCTTGAGGAGAGTTCCAGTCTTAATTACTTTACTTCGAACATCCCCACCCTCTCTTGCTAGCACTCCCGGGAGACTGGGGTTGGGGCACTCCGGGGACATGTTGGGCACTCAGGGGGACTCTGGGGTTGGGCACTCAGGGAGACTTTGGGGCTGGGCACTCCAGGGACACTCTAGAGAGCATTGCAGGGACATTTGGGGTTGGGCACTCCAGGGATGAGTGAGGAGTAGACCGGGTGAGGAGAAGAGTTCCGGGTGAGGATAAGAGTTCCGGGCGGGGAGAAGAGTTGAGTTTAAAGTCTAGCAACCCCACACCGAGGGTGCGGAAAATGGAGTCCTTAACAACTTGCATTGTCACACAGTCAGTCAAAAGGCAAGCTCTGCGAACGGCGAGAGCGCTCGTCGTCCAGAACCCCAAACCCTTAAAGCTTCCCCACAATTAGAGACTGCCTCCTCGTAAATGGAGCCTAAACTTTTCTGGGGACAGAACTCACAAGGATCGAGAGCAGATGCTTACAGTGGGTTTGCGTGGTTTGTAGTAGCTGTGGCTTGCCTTTTTGTGTTCTTGCAAAGCATTGCAATGCCTGCAGTGCTTGCAGCTTGCAATGCTTGCAATGCTGGTAGTGGACCCTGTGGTCCATAGCTGCCCGCAGCTGAGAATGCACATTTTCCGCACTTTCATGGCTGTGGCGGGTGCCTCGGCTTAAGGGTAATTAGTCTCGTCGTGGTCAACTGTTTCAACTTTGTTGTGTTTTGCAGCTCCTCACATTCAGAACACTTTCATTTCGGCAGTGTTTCCAATGTACGAGCGGATTTAGGCTTTCGATTTCAGCGCTTAACCCTTCAGACTTCGGAGTTTCGACCTCATCAGATTCCGGCCTCATATATATCGCCCACTTTCCCTAGCCTTCTCCACGCTGCGCGCAGCCTTGCGGGCTTGCCGGGCTTGCCCCTCCGCTGAACGCTGAGGCTGCCATGTGTAGTCTTGCTAGTTCACAACGCCTGGAGAATACTCTGAAAGGGTTCGTGAGCTTCAGCGATGAATCGGAGGCATACCTTCTGGTGTGTCGGTCAAGGGCATGCATGTATTTCTGTGTCGTTTCACTGTGTGGTCCTTGCAATATTGCTGCCTGCCTTGGCTTCACACTTGCTTGCAGAGAAACTGGGTGATGGGGCCCCCAATGTGGTACACAGTGCTTGCTGAAAAACGTCACCAATTCCGAATCAAGAAGTTTGGACCCGCAACTTTCGCTCCCAAAAATAGAGCAAGTCAAAGAACGCAAAGGACAGTGCTCCTGCCTTCTTGGAACACGGGCGGCTAGAGGCGGAAGACCTACTCCTTGTAGTGCTTGCAGTACTTTGTGCTTCGTGCGTCATTTTAGACGCGTATCTGGAAGGCACGATCAGAACCTCGAAGCCGGAGTGGTCTTTGTGACATCCGAGCGGCTAGTATGGGATCTTTCCCAATCCAGGGCCTTCGACATGCTGTCAGCTTTCAGGACTGAGGATTCATACACCCTGGCCAAACTGCACCATCCACAAGGCCAAGGTCTGAACCCGAGACCCACAACCCTACCGGTTGAACCCCTCTTTTGGCACAGTAAACAAAAGAAAGATAGCATCACTGGCCTTAATCTGGCCGTGTGCAAAGGCCACCAACTCAGCCTAAGCAGAGGATGGCTTTTGCGGTGCTTTGAGCTTAGGACCCAGATGGGTGGTTGTCAAAATTATGATCCCTTTTGGGGTACCCTCAATGTTAGGTGCCGTACTATAATAGGGATCCAAACAGGAACCATAATTTTGACAACCACTCAGATGGACGCAGAAACAACTGCGGGTTAAATGGGTTTGTCACGGCGATCACTCACAGGTTCAGAGGTCACAGAAGGTCTCCTAACTTTGCTTTGGGCATCTGCTCGGGCACTGTATTCAAGTCTGAACCCATGCTCCGAAGTTTGCGACCGCAGGGCCCAGTGCGGGAAGGTCTTGCGGCGGAGCCTTTCACTGTTGAGAAGCATTTGAATGCCATCCTGCGCAAGATTCAGATTCTGCAAGAGGCATGAGGAGCAACTGCAGAAGTTCGCACCTTTAAGTCCTGTGCTTTAGGATGATGGAAAACAGATGGAGCTCGGGTCACAAGCTTTAAGTCAGGGCTCAGCTCTTGTTCTGCACATGCTTGTTGCACGCACCAGCCAGCGCAGGACACGGCAAATTTTGTTGGTTTCTGAAAGGGGCCTCAATTTTTGGAAGTAACTCGAACCGTAGGGGTAGGGATCGCTGAAGTACCTACCCCCTTGGACCCTGCTTCCTCATGGATATTGTAAACCCTTGACTCCCTACTAAACCCTAAATCTAAAGCCTCAACTCTGAACAAAACCAATCTACCCTGCAGAGTCCCCCCCTCTTCTCCAGGCACTGGGTCCTCGTCTGCTCCCAACAGCCAATGAACGAGGTAGGCCTGGAAATCGGGTGAAGCTGTGTGCGTGTGCGTGTGGGTGTGGGTGTGGGTGTGCACGCGTGCGGGCGGGTGCGGGTGCAGGTGCGGGTGCAGGTGCGGGTGTGGGTGTTGCGGGTGCGCGTGCACGTGCGTGCGCGCGCACGTGCGTGTGTGCGCGTGTGCGCTTGTTTGCATGTGTGTTTGTGTGTGTGTGGAGCCATAGTCCGGTTCCCGTAGATGCCCGGCCATAGCTCATCTCTGTAACAGAGCCTAATACGCTAGAAAGACGAGACGACGTAGTGGCCTCCAGCACCTGACTGACGCCCTGGCGACTCAGCGACCGCGCCAGGGGCTTGCGCTGTGCCTGCGAGCATTTGAATCACTTCCAGCCAATTTAGAGGATTTAGGGCTGCGGACCTGAGTGAACCCAGTAAACTCAGCAAACCTCAGAAAATCACGCAAATGTGCGGGGATTGTGGTGTTGTCACGCCGGAAACCCTGGAAGCTTGCGCCTCATAGACCTTGGTCAGCAGCGCACTCTCCGAGTCGAAGACCAGCTGCTCGATAGTGGTGATCCTTGCCAGCATGGGCTACTATACCTTATAAGCCCTCAAAAAGGCCCTTTGTAGGGGATTATAAGGCCTAATAGACCTTATAAATCCCCCCAAAAAGGCCCTCTATTGGGGGATTATAAGGGCTAATAGGGCCCTTTACAGGTTGATGATGGGGATTCACGGGGCCTGACCCACCATCCTGGTATCAAGACCGCCTCAAAGACGCTGAGGCAGCGACCCGGAGAAATCCGACAACCTTGCGCCTCAACATGCCTCAACCTCCAAAAATCGGGCCCCTTGAAGAGTTCAACCCTAAACCCTAAACCCTAAACCCTCAACCCTAAACCCTAAACCCTAAACTTGGAGCTGCCCAGGCTCAGCAAGGCAGCATCCCGGACATCGAAGCCGCGCTCCTCAGCGTGCCGCGACATCAGCACGTTCTCGACCTTCCGGCACGTTTAGGGTTTAGGGTTTAGGGTTTAGGGTTTAGGGTTTAGGGTTTAGGGTTTGGGGTTTGGGGTTTGGGGTTTGGGGTTTGGGGTTTAGGGTTTAGGGTTTGGGGTTGAGGATTGAGGGTTTGGGGTTTGGGGTTTGGGGTTTAGGGTTCAGGGTTTAGGACTTCTGGGGGCTGCGTCGAAGAGGTCCGGCTTTGGGGTTTGGAGGTTGGGGTCCAGGACCTTTGGAGGGAAAGCAGAACTGTATTTGCGATGGTGACAAAACTTTGTTGGACCACTCGAAATCTAACTATACCAAGTCACAGTCCGAACTTCTCGATCACTCAGACACTTATGGCCCTAACCCTAAACCCTAAACCCTAAACCCTAAACCCTAAACCCTAAACCCTAAACCCTAAGGCCATGAACTCGCCAGGGCACGTAACCAGGCACCTTCTCACTGAGCACCTCAGCAGCCGCCCACAGCGACCTCGGTACTCTTGTCAGAACTTGTGGTTGCGGCTTATCTTTAAGGTTTAGGGTTTAGGGTTTAGGGTTTAGGGTTTAGGGTTTAGGGTTTAGGGTTTAGGGTTTAGGGTTTAGGGTTTAGGGTTTAGGGTTGCTGTTGGCTCGTAGGGAATGAGGGAATGAGGTACCCTAGTAAACCCCTTAAAGGTTAGATATAGGGGCCTAATTCCCTCATTCCCTGCTAGCCAACAGAAAGTTATCACAGGCACGTTCTTTGCTGTCACTTACGATTGGGTTTGGGGAGTTGGGTAGTGGAAGGATTCATTCTGCAAAAAAACGCGGATTCGCTCCACCAACACGGCAGGTTCATTCTACAAAGAAAACGTGGAGTCATGCAACTGTGAAAGAAATTCCCTCTACCAGCACACGCGGATTCATTCTACCAGAACCCCACACAACCAGCTAAAGACTCATCAAGGAGGAGGGGGGTGGGGATAGGAGGGGGGGATGAGCGAGACGGCATAATGAATCCAGGTAGAATGAGTCGGGCGTGGTAGATGCGATCGGAGTAGAACGACTCGCATGCAGCAGGGTGAATTGGGCGTCTTCCTTGGGGAACGCACGTGGCGGTACAGAAGTCGAGACAAGAACACTGGGGCAGATCCAGCCATCTGAGTCTCATATGAGCTAACTTCAACTATCATACACCTGCAAGGGCTACTCTACCCTATAACCCCCTTAACAAGGCCCTTTATAGGGTTGGTTAGGGGGATTACAAGGCCCAATATAGCCCATGCTGGTAACCAGCCCGATCACCCCAAGCAGGACGAGCCGCTCGTTGGTCGGGCGGGAGGGCTCGAAGCCACGGATCACCAGCGCATACCTGACGTCATGGGAACCAGGATGGGCTGTTAGGCCCCAGAATCCCCATAATCAGCCCCATAAAGGGCCTTTTTGAAGGGGTTATGGGGTATAATCCCCATGATCAACCCTATAAAGGGGGCCTTTTTAAGGGGGTTCTAGGGTATAATGGCCCATGCGGGAGCTGACGCGAGCTCCGCGCTGCAAGCCCAGCGCTTAGCCACAGGGAGGCCTCCATTGAATCTGGTGCTTCGGTTTTTTTCATCTGCCCTGAGAACTCTCTGCCAAGGGGCTTCTGGCTGAAGTGGCGGTAGGCGAGGTAGCGCAGTGAGCGGCGATCGATGCGGCCGGCTCCTGTCAGTGCAGCTTCAGATTCGAGTCTCCCCGAAAGCCCATGCAAGCCCTTGGAAGACGTCTGTTGAAGATGCTCCCGTGAAGACTTTCTGGATGTCTCTGGTCATCGTTCCTGCGGTCCTCTTAAGCGTTCTCAGTGACAGCGCATGTTTCTGTTCGAGGAACGGGTGCCGCCTTGGGAGTTGTTCGTCTGAAACCTGTTGGCGCTCCCACCGCTACCGCCGATGTGCTGTTCAGCACAACCCTGTGGAGACATGCGGATGGCACGAATCCAATGCTGCCACACGGGGAAGCCTTTTCAAATAGGCACCATGTTTCTTGGCTTCTCTGTGGCCCAAAGCCCAAAACAGGCCTCCCACCAGCCTACTTGTTGTCAGCGCTTTGTTCTTAGGCCACCACTTAGGCCACCAAGCTGCCCACTTCGAACTTGAAAGGGCAGTTGGGCCCAGTTGCGGTCGGGCGAGGCCCGCAGTTCGTTTGTGGCTTCGCGGCGTTTGGGTGCTTGTTTGCGAGACTTTGCTCCGGGGTCGGGACAGCAGACACCCACAGAAATCAGACAAACTCCTGTCAACCTTCCCCTGAGGCTGGGACCATTTTTCGGCAGAGTGGCAAAGGCACTGTCCAGCTCGTCCTCCGGGCTTTCGAAGCTTCGGAGGCTTCGGAGGCTTCTGAAGGCTTAGGGTTTATGGTTTAGGGTTTAGGGTTTGGGGGTTTAGGGGTTTCGGGGTTAGGGTTTAGGGGTTTAGGGGTCTAGGGGTTTAGGGGTCTAGGGGTCTAGGGGTTTAGGGTTTAGGGTTTAGGGTTTAGGGTTTAGGGTTTAGGGTTTAGGGTTTAGGGTTTAGGGTTTAGGGTTTAGGGTTTAGGGTTTAGGGTTTAGGGTTTAGGGTTTAGGGTTAGGGTTTAGGGTTTAGGGTTTAGGGTTTAGGGTTTAAGGGTTTAGGGTTTAGGGTTTAGGGTTTAGGGTTTAGGGTTTAGGGTTTAGGGTTTAGGGTTTAGGGTTTAGGGTTTAGGGTTTAGGGTTTAGGACCCACAATGCTGACGTACATCCAGGGAGCAAGAGTCATCTTTGCATCCTGAAGCTCTTGCGTTCAAAAGCGTGCTGCTCAGCCAGGGGCTGGGAAAAACCAATCATCAACCAGGAGCTCTGTTTGCAACTTCACCCCCCTAAAACCCCCTAAACACTACACCCTAAATCCTAAACCCTAAACCCCAAACCCCAAACCCTAAACCCTAAACCGATCTTTAACATGCGCAGCGACAGCTACTCGCACCTCCAACTGGCGGAGCTTTTCAAGGGGGACCTGCAGACAACCGCATGAAGGGTTCACGATATTCGGGGTGTCACATGTGGGTCCTCATTACAGGGGAATCCTACTACTTGGGGGGTCTATTTTTGGGTCCCCTGTTCTCGTAAGCCCCCACATTCTACATGAGCGACCAATCTGCGCATGAGCTATATGGGGTCTGCTTGTACTCATCGTCGCCCCCGTAAATTGGGTAGTCCACCGGAGGCGGGCCTATATCCACTCCAAGCTTCAAGCCACTTGCGGTGATGCATATGCACGTACAACTTGCGATCGTTTTTGGTTCCAATAGCGGGCAAGCGAAATCGGAGCCAACAACTGAACTCTGCTCCCCCAACAAACTGAGGACCCCAAACTACCAAACTCTGGACTCTAGATTTAAGCGCTTGAAGCCAAAATATACTACACGGACGAAACCCTCCAAACCAAGCTCAAAAACTGAGACCTTGCGTTGCAAGCCAAGTCTACGCCTTGAAACGGACGTGAAGCACCACATAAACCCTGAACCCTAAACCCTAAACCCTAACCCTAAACCCTAAACCCTAAACCCTAAACCCTAAACCCTAAACCCTAAACCGACCCCGACCGAAGACCTGAAATGCTGGCCCACCTCGCCACCGCAGCCCAAGGCTCCGCCCATGGCAGCCCTTGGCTTTCGAGCTTTTTTTGTTTGGGGGGTTTAGGGTTTAGGGTATAGGGTTTAGGGTTTAGGGTTTAGGGTTTAGGGTTCAGGGTTCAGGGCTTAGGGCTTAGGATTTAGGGGGAACTTGGTGGGTTCTCCGGCTTTTGTGGGTCCGAATCTGGGGGTACGTCGGCACGTGTTGGCTGTTTCTCTTTCTCGCTGTTACCTGCAAGGTTCGTCCATGCACCTTTCCAAGACAGCACCACCATAACACCCACAGCACCAGGAGCACCACGCAGAGCAAGGAAGAAACAGCCACACCTGAAACCCGTGCACCCAAAACAAACACACGGAGATAAGAGAGTAAACTCTCACTGGCTTCCCTGTCCGAAGATCTTATGCATGGTGACGAAATTGTGGCCGATGTCCCAAGGTGCAAGCCATCTGGAGCGTTCGGACTTGAAATTATTTGAGGACCGAGGATTCCGGGTTTTGAGGGTACATGATGTCACAAGCAGTATAGTGGATACCAGCTGCAACAACTTGCCCAGGTACTCCACGCGCAGGTACGTTTTCCTGCCCGGTGACATAGAGCTTCGTTGGCGCGAGCTATGTCAAAGGACCTCGCGCCCCCTGCATAAAACACATTCACCGTCAGTCTTCTATACGAAATGTCCGGCCAAGCCTTAGAGACTTTCCAAAACCCTTAGCTTAGAATCAGGGTGCACACACACACGCCCCTCGGTCAGAGGGGACGGCCCAAAACATGCGGTACTTCCGACAACGGGAAAGTGAAAGAAGACATGGCGTCACACAGATCCTAGCAACTAAAAAAAAAAGAAAAGGTTAAGGCTGAATAAGGAGCCGAGCATCGCCAATCCATCCATAAAATTCCATTGGCGCTAAGGCCTCTATTGCGGTCCGGAGGACCTCCATTAGGCCCCACCTCGGGCCACACGGGTGCTAAGACCCACCATTCTTGCTCTTGGGACTAGCCCTCTGTTGCCCATCCACCTGAAAGTTACTCATCGCTCGAGAGCGGTCTAGTGGGCTCCATGCGTGGCACTAGGCCTCTCGACCCAACCTGCCAGGTTATTGGGCCTCCATGGTACCATGATGAGTCGCACAACGACCCGTACAGCTCCCTCGCGGGATAACTGCGATTGGCAACAAGGCCACACACGGAGATAAGAGAGTAAACTCTCACTGGCTTCCCTGTCCGAAGATCTTATGCATGGTGACGAAATTGTGGCCGATGTCCCAAGGTGCAAGCCATCTGGAGCGTTCGGACTTGAAATTATTTGAGGACCGAGGATTCCGGGTTTTGAGGGTACATGATGTCACAAGCAGTATAGTGGATACCAGCTGCAACAACTTGCCCAGGTACTCCACGCGCAGGTACGTTTTCCTGCCCGATGACATAGAGCTTCGTTGGCGCGAGCTATGTCAAAGGACCTCGCGCCCCCTGCATAAAACACATTCACCGTCAGTCTTCTATACGAAATGTCCGGCCAAGCCTTAGAGACTTTCCAAAACCCTTAGCTTAGAATCAGGGTGCACACACACACACAGAGTTCAGATGCTGGAAAAAACGGTGGAGAAAGGAACCCTGTGTGTCAGGAGTTTCACTGTATGATGACACTCGTGCTGCCCAGGCGAAATTCCAGTCGGGCTTGCCCGAAACGGTTTGGTTATCGGCCAATAAAGGGGGAAGCGGATGTCGTAATGCATCTGCGGGGGGTTCTCACTGGGATCAATCTTTGTCTGCCGAGCTGGTGGAAGGCAATCTAGCTTCTTCTGCATGTCGTTTCAGCTGCAAGACATGAAAGACAGGCTACCTGTCAAGCAAACTAGAAGGCCTTAGTGGACATGAGGCCCCCCAAAGCTGCAGTTGTGGCAAAACTATACCCTGAACCCTAAACCCTAAACCCCAAACCCTAAACCCCAAACCCGAAACCCCAAACCCCAAACCCCAAACCCTAAACCCCAAACCCTAAACCCTAAACCCGAAACCCTAAACCCTAAACCCTAAACCCCAAACCCTAAACCCTAAACCCTAAAGCGCCTCATGTAGAGCCATGTCCAACCGTTGCCAGGGCGCTGCAGCTCCGCCTCAAAGGCGGCGGCGTCGACGGAGGCGCGAAGGTGACCACGGGAGAAGCCTGAGCTGAAGCGACAAGGGGCTTTAGGGTTTCGGGTTTAGGGTTTAGGGTTTAGGGTTTAGGGTTTCGGGTTTCGGGTTTCGGGTTTCGGGTTTAGGGTTTAGGATTTAAGGTTTAGGGTCTAGGGTCTAGGGTTCAGGGTTTAGGGCTGAAGTGACCCGTTTGGAACGTGGGGGGTTTCCGAAAATTAGGGGGGGGGGGGGGGGGGGGGGTACCTTTTTGGGTTCCTTACTAACACCCCCACATGTTTTGGAACATCTTTCGCTTTCTGCTTGTCGTGGGCTCAAAGAGCTAGCCCTAAACCCTCAACGCTAACTAAACTTAGGCTTCTCACTTGACAGTCTGGGAGACCAGGAACTCGGGTTGTGGGGCTGGGCCTCCGTTTTTGGTAGCTGAAGTTGTTCGGTTTCCGGGCTGAGGGTTCGGGCAGGTGGCGACTAAATGAGCTGTAGCCTGCCACTTTCTGTCCTCAAACTTGAAATCCTACTTCTGGCACATGCTCGGATACAGGTCACAGGTTGGGTGAAAACCATTGAGAGCTCATGTTAAAGAGGCTCTGATAAACTTATCACTCAGGACATGCTTCCGAATCCGAAGCAGGAGCTAACCCCTCCTTCTTGAAAAACTCTGAAGCGTAGATGAACTAATGGAGCGGTTTCCCGGCAACGTGCCGAGGTGCTCTCGGAGCTTGCGTAGACCAAGGCAGGCACTACGGCCAAGAACCTTGGGGTTTAGGGCGCGGCTTCGGGTTTAGGGTTCGGGACTTGAACAGTCATCTCATGCATGAGTTAACACTACAGGCCTTTAGGGTTCAGCTTGTCCATCAAGAGGCAACACATGTGACCCAAGGTTGCATGTGGCCTCGCTGTTTTCCAGGTCCCGAATTGTCTTTGGCAGCTCTTGGCTGAGTTGTGACTTGCTGTAGCGGATGGTTGGTGATGAGTTCAGCTAATGAAGATGGGAACGCATCATGTCTTCGGTGACGCTCGGAATATGTACGATCCGCATCCGCACCTTCGTAAGACATCCTGCTGAACATGGCAGTGGAGAGTTGTGTACTTTTGCCGCTATGGCGTTGAGAAAGAGGCTACGAGAGAAGCCTTCTTGGGCCATCAATCTTTGCAAAGCAGCCCAGTATGGACAGATGCAAAGAAGCCAAACCTGTAGCATTGAAAGGAACTGACAGTTCGGCAGCATTTTGCGACTTGCGTCTCGGTTCTTCTCGTTTTTGTGTCTTGGCTCCTACGCTACTTGGCCGGCAAGGGACATGAAACTCCAATCCTGTATGTTATTATCGCTTTCAAGCCTAACACCCCCGAAACCGCCAAACGCAACACAAACCAGCCACAGAAAGTTCAACTTTGACAACTGCAGCGAGGACACATCTGTCGGAGAGGGTCTTGCACGTTTCACCAAGAGTGTTGGAATACCCTAAACCCTAAACCCTAAACCCTAAACCCTATACCCTATACCCTAAACCCTAAACCCTAAACCCTATGCTTGCAGATGTCTTGCAGATTTGCTCCCTGAACCGGCACAGGACTCGGGATGGCTCAGGGTTTAGGGTTTAGGGTTTAGGGTTTAGGGTTTAGGCTTTAGGGTTTAGGGTTTAGGGTTTGGGGTTTGGGGTGTGGGGTTTAGGGTTTAGGGTTTAGGGTTTGGGGTTTAGTGTTCAGGGTTTAGGGTTTAGGGTTTAGGGTCTAGGGTTTTGGGTTTTGGGTTTTGGGTTCAGGTTCAGGGTTCAGGGTTTAGGGGCCACAAACAGCCTCCACAACGGTTAAATCTCCTGCAGTCGCGAGCGGCACGGTGATAGTTGATGCAAGCATTGCTACCTCAGCCAGGCAGTTTCTTTACCAGCTCAGCAAGCCCTAAACCCCAAACCCTGCGCCCTAAACCCTAAACTCTTCTGGCTCGAGGCGCAATCTTAGTAGGTGAAGAAAGGTTGGTGTTCAAGGCTTCAGGGTTCGTAGCTTCTTCAGGTCATCCTTGGCGAAGTGAGAACAGAGACAACAGACACATGCACATGTGAAGATTTCATGCGCCGTTCCGTCTTTGCAATTCCTCTACTCTTCGCACAGCTTCGGTGCAATTCGGGACGTAGGGTTTGATCGTTGACGCGAGACTGAACCCACAGTCTTTCACGCTCTCACACATAAATAGATGGCTTCAGAGGCGGTTGCGGCCAGAAGCTAATATCACAGGCACGACGTGTATTGCATAAGGGAACGATGAACATGCAACACTGCAGAACAGACCGCAAGAAGGATGTCTCGTCCAAGATCGGCTCAATTCGCGGCCCTGCGGCATGAAACTTCAGAACGAAGAGGAGGTAGTACCTTGGCTGTCGTTGCAAACTTCCGGTTCTCAGAAAGATCGAAACATGTCTGCGCGCATCTCGCATGGCCTTCAAGCAAGCCATGACAAGACACAACTGTCCGGCTCCAAGAGCAAGGTCCTCAAAGGCCAAAGGAAGCCTTCGACCCGCCCACCAAACCCCAAACTTTCCAAGCCCCTCAGCCCAGCTGCTTTCTCGGATGCAGTAGGTAAGGAACTTGTGCCAAACGGCCACATGTGATGACCATGTCGATCAAGGAGCATGCTGGTGCCCTCCAACACCAACACCCACACGAATACCGAACCCCTTCATGAAATCGAACCCTAAACCCTAAACCCTAAACCCCAAACCTAAAACCCCAAACCCCAGCAAAGCCGAAGCCTTGCTCCACCTTGGGGAATGTGGGGTTTTGGCCTTCAGCCCAACACCGCCTCCGACCTCCGACCTCCATGTAGCCAGGAGAGGGCGGTGCTGAGACCACAGAAGCAACTATGGGGGGTTTACGAGATCAGGGGTGGTCC